CACAATGATAATGCAAAACAAGGAAATGAAAACGACACACTTACGATCAGGATGTGTACAAGTCTCACGAGACAAGCCTTAATCTAAGACTTTATGTCAATTTCCTCATATTATAAATTTTGTAGAAAATAAATAAAATACGTGAAAAAGGAAAAAAAATATTAATACACAGATGAAATTTGTATAATTGACATCAAAAGATTCGGAATGATGATATAACTTAGAAACATGGGAAATTGTTATCCACAAGTTATAAGCATCTAATTATATTCTCGATTGTGATTGGCAACATATATACAGATATACTATATACATACATCAATCTCATAATGCATTCAAGTATTGAACCCTATACTACTCTTTTCTGCTATGCTAGTTTACGTTTTTATGTTCCTCATAAGTTATAGAAGAGATTACGAATTTTTTAAAAGAAATTTAATAAAAATAAAATGTTTTGTTTACCGGCAGTGTCGATGATTGACATGATCATATATTTGTAGATTATTATTGGGCGAGGAAAAAAACCTTTTACGAGTATTTAATCGTAATCGAATTAATTTATGATACTTTAATATACTTTCTTTCTTTGTCAGAATAAAGCGAGACATCGTAATTTTACGGATCACCAAATGGTATCTTCTTCCTTCTTTTTTTCCTCTCAATAAAAAGCCACTTTTTTCATTGTTATCATCTTTTTCTAAAAGATATACATACATACATATTCATGATTTAACCTACCAGATAAAGTAAAGATTAAGATAAATGTTCTGTTTACATGCCTATATATATATACATTGCTAAACGAACTAATCTACTAATATGCTATAAACTGGTATTACTTATTTAATATTACAATATCTGTCAAAAAGCTGATATATAATTTCATTTTAACAAGGAAATAGTGGACCAATAAAAAAAAAAAAAAAAAAAAAAACAGGGCCAAGGTATGATACACATAAATTGAAGTCAATTTTTTTCTCCTGCTACTACCATTAAGGGGTTCGTTCCTCTATAGTTTCCACAGTCTCAACAATATTCCCTATATACAATATAATATAATCTAACCCTACCCTAAAAATTATATATATATATAATAATATAAGGTAATATACACCAATGATTAGTGTAATACAAAAAGGTGACGTGTAAGTTGGGATGCTTATACTCCCGACACCTGGATAACGTGCGCCAATATAATTCACAAAAAATATGTGTTTGTAATCAGTGTAAGTGACATTTCATATGTTTTGTATAATGGAGAAATACATAAATAATAGAGGTATTTTAAAAGAAGTACATATTTCTAGTTTATTATCCCTAAACTCTATTTAAAAATAATAATGTAAATAACAAAAACAGAATTTAGAATAGGTTCTTTAACTTTTTAAAATTCCTTTCTAAATGATTTGAGATCCCTTCTTAAACGTTTACTAACTATTTTAAGAATCATATAATTGGTATGTTTATAAATAAATAAATAAAGAATAGAAAGATTCGGTGTATATCTTTACAAAGAGAGAAAATAGTGTTGATAAAAGAGGGGCAGTTTGATTGGGGGAGGTTGAAGAAGCGTGTGATCGATAACTTTGAGCTCTTATGATTTATTTTTATTTTTATCATTTCTTTATTTTTATTTTATTTGTGCCGCCGCAATGCTATTGGACTTATTCATAGTTTCTTTTACGATTACACAATTAAAATAATTAGAATTCTAGTGGTCAATTTAAATCTTCAGGTTTTCCATCATAATCATATGAACTGATCTTATTTTATTTTATTTTCATTTTAGCCAACTAATTATTGCAGCATGTATATATACCCTCTTACATCTGCAACGTTAAAATTACAATTGAATTCAAGTTATAAGATAACACGAAGTTGAATCGATACATGCTTCATATGTGATCTACAGTATGTAATAACATTTGTACTGGATGCTTGCATAATTAATTGCAACCTTATATCCTTTAAGCTAATACAGTTGTTTAAGCTTAATATTTTCGGAAAACATTACATTGAAGACAACATGTAACTTGAAATATATTTTCTGATGTAAATATTAAGTTATCCATCGCTCATTTGCTTTTGGATTTTAAAAACTCACGACTTTTTGACAAAGTACCACAAGTTATGTTTAGAACTCACGTAAAAATAGAAAGGGAATATTGATAAATGACTTCAACAGTCTATAACCATTTTATCTTATGAGTTTGAACTTTGAATCATCTCACTTGTTATATGGTTCACAAAACTCACGTTCTGATCTTATGCGGTATAGTTTGGATGTATCCACTGCAGCATCGATCAATCGCATCCATAAACAATTTAAAACATCAAAGTGTCCTATCATTTTTATTATTATCATTTGATAAAACACCAAGGTTAATTTCTATATACACTACCAATTGGTTGATTTCTTCAACTTTCATTAATTACAAGTAAATTATGTGACAGTTACGTATCAATAATTAGCTTATGATTGTCTCGTATTTGAAACCATAAGAAGATGAATTTCATATATGCAAACAATCTAAGGAGAGAAATGAGACTTCGTGGATAGCATTACGTCCATGCATCAATAGGCCCTCAAAACACTAGAGCTAAGCCCTAGCTATAAGATTATACATATACCCACGCTATATATGTAATGTGTATTATATGTGTATGTATATTTGTGTGTGTCTTTCTCCTAAGCCTATAGCATTTGAAAGCTATAGACCAACCGAAGAGAGGTAAAGGAGAAGAAGAAATCTAATAAAGCTAAAAAGGAAGAAAAATAAAGAGAGACATCACTTCTTAGATATATATTTTTTTCGCTTTTGGAACTTCAACCTCATGGGGCCATTAACGAATATTTTGTTGTTTTTAAAGTTTTTTTGTTTTCACTTATTAACATTTCTTAACTGAGAAATTTACTCAATCTCTTGGGGTCGGGTTACTTTTATCAGTTTGTACTATGATTGTGTCCTAAGACCATCATCAACGCTGGGTTGTTAGGTGATTCTTAGGCTAATCTTAGGCTAAATTTAAATCAAAATACAATTAATAACATAAGAACCGTATATTATATAAGCTCAAAATGAGAGTGGAAGAGGTGCATACGTGGCAAGCTAGGATTGGCTTTGCTGATAAATATATAAATGATTTTTTTGCATCATTTTTCTTTCTTCTTTCTCTCTCTCTCTTTTCTCTCTCTCTCTTCGCGAAAAAGAAAAACGAAGAGATTTCTTTAATCTTCATTTTTCTTTCTTCTTTCTCTCTCTCTCTTTTCTCTCTCTCTTTCTCTCTCTCTCTCTTTTTGCAATAATTATTAAGTTTTTAAAATTATAAAATTTTTAATTAAAAAAAAAAATTATTTAATCTTAAGATCCATTAGTTAAGAACCCACCAATGATCTTGCATAAAACCATATAAACTTAATTCAACTTTTTAACATCACTTTAGTCAATTAAATTACTAAATATATTTAAGGATTCATTTTTTAAGGATTCTCATTGATGATGCTCTAAGCCTTACACTCAATGAAAACGGTACTTTTATTTCTTTCTTTGGATTGTGTCCCCAACCTTATTTCGATTCTGTGTCCATAAGATTTAGAATTACTTTAAGAAAATGAAAAAGATATCTTGTACAAAAATACAAAACATATTTCATCTGTCTCTAAACTAACTCTTGGTTACAAAAAAAAAAAAAAAAAGCAGTCTGAAAATAAAATTTAAGTAAAAAAACATAATTAATTTGATTAACTACCAACCAACAGAATGACACATGAATCTTAATCACACAAGAAAACACAATTATAAAAAGTTTATTAAACGATTATGACATAAATGTGTCCGGATCCATCCGAAATCCTCTTAATGATAAATAAATAGGCGACTAAGTGTTACTAAACTAGGTTATCTTATACGACGATCAAGGAGAAACAAAATGAGTCAAAGATCTTTCACACTTAAGCATATTCCTTAGCTGGAACTAATAAAGATACCATTGCTAAGACAAATGAAAAATAAAAAAGTAATGAGAAGTAATTTACAAGCTTCATTCGTTCATAGAACTGAAAAAAATAAAAAAAAGTCTCAATCTAGACGTTTCGGGTTGATTGGAGAACGTGGACTACCTAGACCTGCCATTGACGCTTCTTCAAGACTTCATCTCTGACCAATAGCCTTCACGAGACACATTGATGTGTCTATGTGCAGCAGCAGCAGCAGAAAGAAACCCCTCTACACACACTTCCAAAATATTTACACGTTGCAAAGTGGGCCAAAGACAAGTGGATCAGGCCCAATGACTTCAACGTCCCTTCCTTGTGATAAGGACAAGACAACATACGCATAGGTACATTACCTAAGCAATGAATGAATTATTAGCATTTATGATTGGTATAAATGTCATTAATAATGATTCTCAAAAGCTAATCTCTAGTCTGTTTATATATATTCCTTTAAAAAACTGTTTTCATTTGTTTGGGACCTTGATCGTAACCCCGTGTAGACCAATATGTCCGACGGAAGAAAAAACAAAAGAACCAATGTATCATTTGATATATACAATAAACTCTCAAGAACACATACCAACTAATCCCTGAGAGTTTGTAAATGTACAAAGTCTCCATCACAAGTAGATCTTTGGCAACCAATCTGGTTAGATGAATTTCAAGTTTTCCACTTTCGCATGTTCCGAGGGATATGTGCAGCAGTGCTCAAAGAAACCATATCTTGCTTATCAACGAAGGATACAATAACTGTGAAAGATCTTTTTTCTCATCATTCTAGAGAGTAAGTGTGAGGAAGTATCAAAAACGCTAAAGAGGCCTAATAGAGTCACCACACTGAGATCCATATGTATGTGACTACTGAAGCCTTTTAGCACTAGAAGCGAATTCAAGAACTTACGACAAGATGGGCCTTGAGAAAAAAGTTTGAGGCCCATATCTTCTTTGTCTTTCTCTCTCTCCATCAACATGGTTTACTGGGTCAACTTTTTCACCCAGAAATCAATTCGTCACCTTTGATTTTGGGAATGTGACAAAAATCAATCTGGGTTGTCTGATTTCTTTTTTTTCTTTCCTTCTATGACTTTCTGTCTGATTCGATTGTTCAGGCGATTCAACTCTTCTTCAACGCCCTGAGTCACAGGCGATTCATTTTTTCATCTTCCTTGTCCCCGTTGACCTGTTTCGATCTGAAATGGTGTTTATGCTGCTGTTGATTCCAAGTTAAAAAAACAGAGACCTTTTTCAGGTGGATTTGAATGTAAAATTAGGGGTGTTCATTGAATGGACTTGAAAATGGATAATGTAATTGGGGGCAAATTTAAGCTTGGTCGGAAGATCGGTGGTGGCTCTTTTGGAGAGCTTTTTCTAGGTATTTTTTTTTTTTTTTAATCGTTTCTATGTGATCTGTTCTTTTGTGTTGTTTAGTATTCAATTTTTTGGATTACCTGTTTTTTTTTTTGCCATGTTGAATTGAAATCTCCTTCTTGAATGTATATTTCAGCTGTAAGTCTGCAAACCGGAGAGGAAGTAGCTGTAAAGCTGGTATTATTCAACTCTTTATCTTCTTTTTCATTAGGTTGTATCAATAACAATGTGATTTAAGATTGAGGGGACGAGTAAAAAATTAAAATTTTTAACGCTTTCTCATCAAATCTGTAGCATTAATATTTGGTGGTACTTGAAATAGTCATTATGGAGTAGTTACTTTATTCAATCTGTTAGCTTTGTTATTTTTTTTTTTTGAGTTTCGTTTTCTTGTTTTTGTGAGTTAATCATGGGATAGGGAGTCTCATTGCGATAATCAGCTAATGTTTCATATTCCATAGTTATCACAAAACTCATATTTTAATGAGGATTTTTTGCTGCTAGGGAATTCGACAACAGATTATTTATCTAACGTTTTGTTAAATTTTGAAGGAGCCTGCGAAAACTAAGCATCCCCAACTTCATTATGAGTCGAAGATATACATGCTTCTACAAGGAGGAAGTAAGTGTACAACTCTGAAACGAGTTTCTGGTCAAAGTCTGCAAATTCTATATGAAAGAAAAAAAACATGCTTTTAGCTGTTTGTTAGAATATGTACCTGGATCTAATTTGTTTTCTGTGGTGAAGGTGGCATCCCCAGCCTCAAGTGGTTTGGGGTTCAGGGAGACTACAATGCAATGGTCATTGATCTCCTTGGGCCGAGTTTGGAGGACTTGTTCAACTATTGTAATAGGAGGCTCACTTTGAAGGCAGTTTTGATGCTTGCTGATCAACTGGTGAGTATTGTCAAGTGCTGCTTTCACTTTTTCAAGGCAGAAGACATAATATTTTAAGTTTGGAGTTCCACCTAATAGATTTGTTGATTTTTGTAGATTAGCAGAGTTGAGTATATGCATTCAAGGGGATTTCTTCACCGTGACATAAAACCTGACAATTTCTTGATGGGACTTGGTCGTAAAGCAAACCAGGTGCATTTTTTTGTACACTTTCTGTTATGCTAGATTTCATCTTTTTCTTTGTTACTGTTGATATGGTTACTAAACATGAGCTTGCTTTAAACATAATTTTGTATATAGGTGTATATCATTGACTTTGGCCTTGCAAAGAAGTATAGGGATCTTCAAACACATAGGCACATCCCATATAGGTGATTTATGGTGCTTTCATGTGCATGTTATACCCCTTTCATTTTATCTCTACTTATTCTTACAGATATCCTCATGCTGTTTTCATTACAGGGAAAATAAGAACCTTACGGGTACAGCAAGGTATGCTAGTGTCAACACTCACCTTGGAGTTGGTAAGCAATTAATAGAACAACTTGAGATCTGCTCCAGATTTGTGTATACAATTCCTAAAAACTGTGGCTGTTTGCAAATTTGTTGGCAGAACAAAGTCGGAGGGATGATTTGGAGTCTCTTGGTTACGTGCTCATGTATTTCCTGAGAGGAAGGTTGTGCATATAGATCCTTTTTTTTTCTAGTATCTCTTTGCACTTACTTGTTCTGGTCTGATTTTTTCTGGGATTTTCTGGGTTCAGCCTCCCATGGCAAGGACTAAAAGCTGGCACAAAGAAGCAGAAGTATGATAGAATAAGTGAGAAGAAAGTTTCAACTCCTATAGAGGTATGGTAAAGACATAATATGGCTTAAATACCCTTGACTGGATCTCTATCTCATTTTCACATAGATCACAGGTTAACTGTTACTATACTTGTAACAGGTCTTGTGCAAGTCACATCCACCCGAATTCGTATCATACTTTCAATATTGCAGGTCTTTACGATTCGAAGACAAACCAGACTACTCATATCTAAAGAGGCTATTCCGAGACTTGTTTATCCGTGAAGGTTTGCGTTTTCATAGGCTAAACTTTTACTTTTTAGATATTAAGTAACGTAGCACTGTTATATTTATGTTAAGATCTTGATTGTAGATACAATGAAGCTACTTTTTCTTAAAAATTGTTTGCCGGTATATGTTGTCATTATTTCCAAAAGATTGACAATGTCTCCTGGGAAGATTCAGTGTTATGAGTTCCCGAATTGTTTTTCAGTCTTTGTTTTGGTGATTTTCTTCTTAGGAACATCACTGTGCAGTTCAGTGTTTTGAAATGTTTGTTATACCAATGTTTTTCTTTTATTACCCGCACTAGTTACTTTGAAATAACAATTCATTTAGGCAGAAATACCAATTTAGTAGATATTTTAATCTTTCTTGAGATCTCTATAAATGTTTCACTCTTTAGATAATAAATGGATTCATGGTATCAGGTTATCAGTTTGACTATGTATTCGACTGGACTGCATTAAAACACCCTCAGAGTTCCAGATCCCACTCCAGCTCCCACGAAAGGGTGAGTACACATGTCTGTAGGTTTCGCTATTGAGTATCAAGTGTCCATACTCACTTTGATTCTGTATTGATCTCTTCTTCAGCATCGAACCAGCAGACCAGGGATGGCTGCGGGACCGTCTGCTGAAAAACCTGAAAGGATTTCAGGTAATCCTATACTTTCCAGAGTTAAGAATCATATAAATCTGCTCAGCTAAGAGGTGGTTGGTTCTGATATTTTGATCCCGTCTATACTTTACAGTAGGGAACATCCGCGATAAATTCTCAGGTGCGGTTGAAGCATTCGCGAGAAGAAACGCAAGAGGACCCAGTCCCCATCAAAACCATACCAGACATCGAACTCTTGACGAAATTCCTTCAATGAAACCTGCTGTGGTAAAACAATAGAACCATCCCAGTTTGTATATCACAATTCCGATAAAGAATGTGCATGAAATCTGAACACTATTGCTCATTCTTTATATGTCAATTTATTTGAATTTGTCAGAATATGGTATCTGAGAAAGGAAGAAACACTTCCAGATACGGCAGTGCTTCAAGGAGAGCAGTAGCATCAGGGAGTAGGCCGAGCTCATCAGGAGAACAAAGGGAAAGCCGAGACTCGAGCCGCGTGGCCTCAAGCGGTGGCAATGCCCGACCATCTGTCTTTCAGAGAACCCAAGCGGCAGCTGGTGTGAGTGGATACGAGTCAAAGACAGCATCTGCCTTTAACCGCGACAGAGTGGCTGCTTCTAGGACAGCACGTGATGATGCTCTCAGAAGCTTCGAGCTTCTTTCCATCCGCAAATGAAGAAGCCTTCAATGGGCTCTTATCTGTAAATTGGATTCTTCTTCACATTGTATGTTGTTTGGTCCTCCGTTTCCACGAAACTCCCAATTTTTCATGTATTATTATTATTATTGTCATCTCTGGATTTTGTATCAATTTTTACACACTTTTTATTGTAATCACGACGACTTGTTAAGCTTAATTCCGTGTATCATACCATTGAACTCTAAACTAATTTTAATTTGTGTTATGAGAGGAGAAAAGTATGAACATTATTACTCATAAAGCGACGTCGCTTAAGTGTCATTCTACAAACTAACGTGTATACCAACAATCGTCGTTTGAAATCGTCAAGTTTAACAGCAGCCCCGTCGGTGATCTTGTCGTGACTCAGAGAGGCACTCTTCCTCGCTCCAACATTTAAATTCTCACTGTTTCCAACATCGATTGACCAATACAAGAAGACCGGTTTTAGCATTCTAGTTTCATGATTTTGAATCCAGCAAGGTACATAATTGATTGCTTATAAAGGTTATGTTTTTTGCCAGAACGTGCAACATGTTTAGATTGTCATCTCCTGAGTTTGGGATGCTTTATGTTAATGGGAGTTTTAATTCGTTGTTATTTGTTTGTTGTTGGAGAACCTTGAATTTAAGTTGCGTTTAAGAAAGAAGAGATTTTGATGGTTGTTGGTTGTTTGATGATAGGTTTGCTTAGAATCTGGATTGACCCAAAAACCAAAAAAGCTGAAAGCTTGAATGATTTGCTGTGCTTATATGTGGAAATCCGGAGGAGAAGATTTGCAAGGTTTCTATCCAGTTAGATCAGAATGTGTAGCAGATGTTCCCAGGACCAGATTTAAATCAAGGGTTTGTCTTTGTGTTTTTTTTTCTTTCACACAATCCATGTTCTTAATGTATAAAACTTGTTTCCAAGTTTGAGTCTTTTCATTGTGGGATTTGATCAGGCTGGCAAAACTTTAAGTGCTAGAAGATGGCATGCTGCGTTTACTGAAGATGGACATTTGGATATGGAAAGAGTTCTTCGACGTATACAGAGAGGGGTAAGTCTATTTTGGTATCTAACTCTCTAGTTTGATTCTGTGGCCTTGTTATTTACTTGGATACGATTTCAGGGGATTCATCCTTCAATCAAAGGAGAGGTTTGGGAGTTTTTGTTAGGAGGTTACGAGCCGGATAGCACCTTTGAAGAAAGGAACAAATTGAGGAATCACAGAAGGTACTACTATTGTCTTTAGTTCTGTCCTTCAATTTATTTATCTTAGCACAAGTAAGTTTGGTAGATCCTTTTGAGTAATGTTTTCTCCTCCGACATGGCACTTCGTATTGCTGTACTTATTATCTAAGGGAGCAGTATTATGCTTGGAAAGAAGAATGTCGACAAATGGTTCCTCTTATTGGTAGCGGAAAGTTTGTCACGATGGCGGTTGTTGCAGAAGATGGGCAGCCATTAGAACAATCATCGGTGGAAAATCAAGAATGGCTTGTAAAAACCGCTATTACAGACAAGCGTGTGCTCCAGTGGATGCTTGTATTGAGTCAAATCGGTATTGTTACCTACTCCTAAAAAAGTTTCTGTTCTTTAGCATTCTGTATAAGTTTTAGAATTCAGAACCCATAGATATGGCAAGTGGCTTAAAGAACTGCTAATGAGGTAGAATTTTGTTGCAGGTCTCGATGTTGTTAGAACAGATCGGTATCTCTCCTTCTATGAGAATGAGAGTAATCAAGCAAGACTATGGGATATTCTTTCTATATACACATGGTTAAATCCTGATATTGGCTATGTTCAGGGTAAGTTCACCTTGGTGTTAATGCTGAATCTTACAATACAGGTTAACATATAATAGAAAAGAAAATTAATTTCAAAGTTTTTCTAGGAATGAACGACATATGTTCCCCAATGATAATCCTGCTCGAAGATGAAGCCGACGCTTTCTGGTGCTTTGAGCGTGCAATGCGAAGACTAGTAAAAATCTAAAGCTTTTCTCTTATTTATCATCCCTGGGTTTTGTTGTTGTTTTCATGGTTTTTGGTTTTGGTTTCCTTGAATTTCAGAGAGAAAATTTCAGGACAACGGCGACATCAATGGGCGTCCAGACTCAGCTGGGTATGCTCTCTCAGGTTATTAAAACTGTTGATCCACGACTCCATCAACATCTAGGTACTCCTTCCTTTTGCCTTCCATTGAGCTACGTTGTCTCTAGCACTTCTCATGGTTAGTGAAGACGTTATACTTTTTCCACAACAGAGGATCTCGACGGTGGAGAGTATCTGTTTGCTATACGAATGTTGATGGTATTGTTCAGGAGAGAGTTCTCCTTCCTTGATGCTTTGTACCTTTGGGAGGTAACAAGTCTCTGTTTTTGTTTCCACTTTGGTTACAATAACTCATCCCATTTCTTGATGTCATAAGCTAATTCTGGGGATGTGAAATTGATTTCCGTTCACCTGAGAGAACTCAGTTCATGTTCTTTCAGGGTTTAGAGTGTCTCTTGATCTGAGCTGATAATAAGACTGTGAGATAGAATTTTGTTTCAGCTGATGTGGGCTATGGAGTACAATCCAAACTTGTTTGCATCATACGAAAGACCAGAGAACAGAAACAACTTCTCAGAACAGGATCCAAGGTTACTGAAGAAGTATGGAAAGTTTGAGAGAAAATATGTAAAGAGTGGCCAGAATGAGCAACACAACACGCTCGCTGTTTTCGTAGTGGCAAGTGTTCTTGAAACGAAGAACAAACGTCTCTTGAAAGAAGCTAAAGGCTTAGACGACGTAGTTCAGGTCTCTCTCTATGCCAAAGCACCTTCTGAGAAATTCAACTCTCTCTCTAGCTCGAGTTTTATGGGGATATAGTTGTTTAATTCTCTTTGTTTGGTTGCAGATATTGGGAGGTATAGCAGGTAATTTGGACGCAAGAAAAGCTTGTAAAGAAGCATTGAAGATTCATGAAAAGTTCCTGAAAAAGGTGACAATTTTGTCTGATCAAGTTCTACTTTTCCTACTTCTTACTAAATTACTAATGTATAAGTTGAAACGTTCTTGCAGGCCAATAGGCAATAGACATTGCTTAACCTTAAACCATCCATTTTCGGGTTTTGTTATACCCATATTGATATCTATCTTCGTCTGAGAGGATGCCGATAAATCTTATGGGAGGGATTCTTTTGTTCTTTCACTTTTGTTTTTTTCTGTTCCTATGCATTTGAATTTTCCCGGCTGTATATCTTATACATTCGTTTGTTGATGCTGTGTGAGCTAAAGATATTAAACACGCGTGCCGTTTCACCTTTAATAGAAGGAACTTCGTGATGTTATCATGTCCATCGTCTATGAAATCACACGCACGTTAGCAAGACAAAACTGTCATGGCAAAAAGTGTCACATTTTTGTATCCACTAAATTTTCAATAATACGACGTTAAAAAGTTTCGTAATTTTTCCTTCACACGGCAAAGTATAAACCATAAAAGCAAATTATATAGCGTAACAAAACGTAATATTAATGTTTAAACCATATACAGTAAAGAAATTACATAGCCAAAAATAGGTTTGTTAAACAAAAAATAAATAGTTACAAATAACAAAAACCAATCTCCTCCCTTAAAAATAAAATTAGTTGTAAGTTATTCATTTGATGGTAATCTATTCTCTACACTACTTTCTCTTTTAGTTTTTATTTTTCGTTTTTGAATTATTCAAAAAATCTAAACCATTGAGTTAACGAGAAATTCTAAACAATCTTAGTTTTTTCCCCCTCATTTCTCCATAGCCATTTTGCTCTTCAAACATCAAGAAACATTTCTTCTCTTGTTTTGATATCTCTTTGGTTGAAGCTGCAATAGTTTCCCCCTCGTCTATATTTTTTTCTTTCATATTCATCAAAACATTTCGGATACAAGAACCTGAAAGAAACATGCATGATCATGAAACTTTCAAGATGAACTTTGGTTATTTTCTCAAGAAAGCTATGGACTCTTGAGCTAACTATACGATTATCTTTTCCATTTTTTTCATTATCCCTTCGATTTTTAAGAGTTTTATGATTTCACAAATCTCTGTAAATACATTTTTGTAGTTTAAAAAAAAAAAAAAACTGGTTTTACAAAGCTAAGAAATTTTGGATATTGTTTATTACATGAGCATTGCTTTCCCGGTCTTTTCATCGTCCATCCGTTTTATAGAAATAAAACAAAAACTAGCGTAGGATAGAGATTTGTTTTCCACAAAGAGAAGAGATCTATGCAACTCGCAATGTCAAGTACCAAGATGAAAAGCCTCTTGAAAGGGCTCCGATACATATCTCAAGTGTTTGGTGAGTTTTTATTCTTCTTTCCTTCCTTTTTGTTTTAATAGTCTCTTGAATGTGAACCTATGAGACAACTTACTCTACATGTTGATGGATTTACATAGAAAATAATAAGATATATATATAATTAAGAAGAGATGGACTCTATATGTGAAATTCCAAATTCTGGTGATCCTTAGATAGAATCATATAACTAATGTAATTGTATCATTTGTAAGATGAATGAAGAAGGAACAGTAAAAGGTTTTGATGTATGTTGGTTTTGATATTTCAGCAATAGAAGGTGATAAGGAACAAGAGATGCAAATTGGAAATCCAACGGACGTAAAGCATGTTGCCCACATTGGTTGGGATGGACCGTCTGATAATGCCACTGCACCTAGCTGGGTACTACTCTGTTCCTAGACTTGTAGTCCTATATTATACATTAACTTTCATCATGCGTTTTTAAATTTTAATGCTATGTTATAAAATCTTTGGTAAGATGAACGATTTCAAGAGTTCTCCGGGGATGGAAACAAGTCAAGGATTTGGAGAAGACGACTCCTCGGTGAAATGTCAATCAGAGTACGGTGGTCAGTCCAGAGATTTACCAAAACTACCAAAATCCACAAGAAAATCATCGTCAGAGAAAGGTTCTCCTACGAAAGAGAGATCAGACAAGACCAAGCGTCGGACTTCAAACAAAGGCACATCATCGTCTAGGAGAAATAAGGAGGAAGACACTTCTTGGTCACAACAAAGTGCTGGATTACCGGAGATGCCAAAGAAGTCAAAGAGGAAGAAAGCTAAAGAAGGTGGTAATGGAGGGTCATCGAGATCATCTCGAAGATCAGAAGCCGATAAAATGTCGGATTATATGTCTGATACTGGTTCCATTAGATCTATGCCTCAATTTGAAGATGACAGAAACGGGTTTTGATTTCCCTTTTTTCATGAAAGAACAAATTTAAGTTTTGTAATAGTAAAGAAATGTTATAAAAACTGTTGAAGATAATCCAAAGTAAATTCATTACCAGAAAACTAATATGTACTTACAACCAAAAATTAAAACTTTTCCCCGCTAATCAAAAAGGTCAAAAGCATAAGAAATGTTAAAACTTTTCCTCTAATAATATGTTCTTTCTTCGCTGTATTTTTCTTTACTGTTTCATTGAGATGTAAAGAGCCAATAAAGCCGCCGGGAAGCAAACGAACGTGAAAACCCTTGTCGCCGATGAAGAGAGAGCTGGTCCGGCGAGAGGAGGATCGGACCTTTTGCTGTAGTGGAGACTTGGATTCCCGCTCAATTTGAGTTTTCTCCCGATTCTATCTCTGAAACTATCGGAGAATGGAACATATCCGATGAGATTGTTGTTCTCAAGGTTGATTTCTCGGGCAAAATCCAAACGTCCGAACTCCTCAGGGATTTGTCCGTCGAGATTGTTGTTGTCGAGCGCCAGAAAGCACAGATTTTTAAGACTCGACGCCATTGAAGCTGGGATGTTGCCTTGAAGACCCATCCTGGAGAACCCGATTCCAGATATATCCTTGAGATTCTTCCAAATCTCCGGTATACGCCCACCGAGCTTGTTCCCACTCAGATGAACCTCTCTCAGTCTGGGCATCTCCGCTAGAAACAGAGGAACGCCAAAGTTCCCAAAACGGTTATAACTGAAGTCCAAAAAGACGAGCTTTTTTAGTTTCCCGACGTCGGAAGGGATCTCTCCGGTGAACTCGTTGAAGCTGAGATCTAGCTTGAGAAGCTCTGTCAAATCACCAATAGAATCAGGGGCTTTTCCGTTGAGAAAGTTATGGCTAAAGTCTAGAACTTTAAGGTTCTTCAGACGTGACGTTGCGTTCGGCGGGATACCACCGCTCAAGCTGTTTCTGGAGAGTGTAACCTCCTCTAGACTGACTAAATCGCCGATCCGACCCGGAATTGACCCGTGAAACCCGTTTCCGGTGAGAACCAATCTTCTCAACTTGGTGAAATTACCGATCATGACACTAATCTCGCCGACAAGAGATGGGTTATCGATGAACACTAGCTCCTCGAGAACAGAGCCGAAATCCTCTGGGATCGTTTCCGGTAACGAGACACGAGCTCCGGTGAAGCATTTGTAGAAAAAGAGCTTCCGAAGGTGTTTGAAAGAAGTGAAGAGGAGAGGATCGAGTGTGGAGTTGGAAGAGCAAGGAGGGTTTTGCGTGTAGTCAGAGACGTAACCCAAGTGGAACTCGGTGACGTGGACGGACGTCGCGACGCCGTTCTGAGAAGCGAAGAGGTAATCGCAAACGACGCCTTCAGGTGGTGAAGCGCAGAGGTCGTCGGAGAAGATGGTACGCCACGAGATGGCTGAGTTGACTGAGTCAAGAACTCGGTAGACCGCTTCTTGCTCCGACGGGTCTAGAGCGAGTTGAGGCGAAGAGCTGTCGTCGTCGTCTTCGTTCTGCTGGGTGGTGATGATTGTAGCGGTGAAGAGAAAGAAGAGGAGAAGAAGAGAGAGGGTAGTACGTGAAGACGCCATGAAAGCACAGAGAAAGCAAAAAAAAAAAGCAGCTTTTTTTTTTGGATTTGGATTTGTTTGGTTTTGGGTTTGTTGCTAACGAGCGATACGTACCTTTTTATGGGTTCATGCTTCGTAATGTCTGTTTCTATAAAATTACATAGTTACCCCTAGTCGAAAACCAAATGATAGTTAACGAGGCTATTAATTTTTATGAAGAAACCAAATACTTTTTCTTTTAACTTTGCCAGGTTAAAAACATCATAATCTTACCAATTTGTGTAGTCTGTTTTCACTATTCACATTCCTTTTTTCTCCAAGTAATTAGTGAAAATGAAAAAGATTCGTTGTGAAAAAAGAAAAATATAGAGGGTAAGAAAGTAATAAAGAGGAAACGGTACAAAGGTTCACGTTCCGTGGGTAAAAAAAAACTTGAGAAAAAAGGTAAAGGAAAAAAAGCATGTATGTTGGGACCATTCCATAACCGGACGAGACGAAATTTGGAGAGAGAGAGAGAAGACGACACCATTTCGATTTTTAAGGCACATTGACCAAAACCACCCCTTTACTTTTATGTTTCACTATATATCTTAACTTGATCGTCAAACTTCAAAGATGCCTTTCATTTTTATCAAAATTACAGAATGTGCTACCAACAAATGAAAAATTCATATTACCATTTTAACATTTTTTGTTTGTCACTTCCCAAGGTCCAAAATTTAATTCATTTTAAAATATTAATCACAAAAACAAATGAATGAATATTTAGGAACACACATTTACCCAAGGGATGTTTGTAAAAAAGTGGAATACAAAGGAAGAAGAAGAAAAAAAGACAAAAAAGCTGAAATGTAAAGTAAACAACAGAGAGAGACAGAGGAGGGAAGGGGGGGGGGGCAAACGGCGGAGAGAGACGACAAGGACGGGGCCGTAGCCGCCGAAGGGAACAGTTGTTTAATGGTTCGTACGAAAGCGACGGCTAAAGGAAGTCATCCAATGAGGTAATGACACATGTAACTCTCTCACCGGAAACGGTACAGCTCTCTCTCTCTCTCTCACGCATGCCTTTTCTATTTCCGGTTCCTCTGCCCTCCGCTGTCCCCACTGTCTCCAGTGTTTTCAGACCCCTTCCTCTTTCCTTTTTACTACTTTTGTTGTTTTTCTTTTCTTTTTTTTTATAGCTGTCGCTGTTTAAATTCTTTGTACGACAAAAATTGTACAATTGCTACCTTTTGCAGTTGTTCTCCTTCGTCCTCGTTGTTTTCCCACAAGTAATGAAACCATTTTCTTTTTGATTTTGTTATAAGTATTTCGGATTTTTATTTTATACGTTTTCGATAAATGGGTCCGTCCTATAGACTTCTATAACCGGTGAAAAAATAATAATAATATTACTAACAATTAGTGCAAAAAAGGATAGAGAAAGCCAATATGGGTCGAGATATATCATGCAGGCCCATTATGATTTTTTTTTTATCTCGAGCCCGTAATAAGAAAACCTCGTCCACTCTAAAAACCTATTTCTTTTGTAAATTACTAAATGGTGTGACCGTCTCGACTCTATATAAATATTTTAGGATTTGAGATTTCCTAAATTTTAACCTTCTTTTTCAGCTACGTAGGCGCTCTTGACTCGTGTGATCCATCCCCTGACCCTGAGTTTGTTGTTATGGCTGCAGAAACTGAGACGCTTCATCTACCCTTACTTTCTGATGATGATGACCATGATGCCTATGATGAGGTTTGATTTCTTCTCTCTTTGTTTTAGTCATTTTTTAGATGCCAGTTCTTAACCATGTCATTGTGGATCGTTATTTAGGTCTCACTAAGGATCGGAGACTCATATTTATTTTGTGTTTTAATTAGTCTTATCCTGCTAATAACTAATGATCAAGTCATGCATATGGTTCACTGAACTCTTATTCCATGCATACTTAGAAAGCAAATAATTACTGGATGGTTTGGTTTGTAACCCTATACGGCTGTACATAAACTGCAGGAGAGGGAGAACATTCACGACACTGAATACCACGTGAATAAAATTAAGAAACTGAAACTGCTGGGGAAACTGTTGACGGTAACTACGGCTTGTGTACTTCAATGGGGTTGTTGGTCGATGGTCAGCCTCTGTGGATTGTGGCGATTGGGGTTTGCGTTTACATCCTTGCCAACACTGCGGTAGACTGGTGGACGGCTCAAAAAATTAAGAGGCTATGATTTTCATTGGCATCGTACTTAATTTTATTGGGTTTTGTTTTCGATATTAAGATAGTGAGTTCTTATTCTGGAAGTTTTTAGCCTAACGTCTTATAATGACCTAGTGGTAATTACCAATTTCAATGGTTATGACTTATGAAGTGATTTAAAAGCGACACACAACAAGTTTGGTCGATGGACCTGATTTTAAAAGTTGAAAGCAATGATATACACAGAAAACAAACAACTAGGACAGCTTGTTTCGTGGTTGTGCTGTTTACATTTGTTAAAAGTCACAACAATAATACACTGTCACAAGACTCCTCTGGGGAACGGTAGAGTATTCTTGGGCATACCAAAACATTTATTATTTACAAATAGATCTAATATTTTAATACCTTTTTTGTTTTCATCTTTTTTCTTCGTTTTTTTAGCAATTATTGGGTTTTCATAGAATCACAATATTTAAAGGATAAGATTATAGAATCACATTCGAATTTGAAAACAATATTATCTTAAACAAACAGAAATTGTTGAATTCCTTTAAAATTAATACTACTAATATTTCATACATAACAAAAAAAAATAAAACTCGAAAACTAAAAGGCTTTTTAATGTTTGGGAGTAAAGACAAAAAGAAAAATATGATAAAAACACAAAGAGTCAAAGACTTCCGAGAAAAGCAGTGAAAAAATGAAAAAAAAACTTTTCAATATATGTCAAATTCTGACTCAAAGACAAAGATCTAATCAGGTGAGTTGAAACAAAAACCAAAATAAGGTAGAAGACTTCGTGATAAGACTTGTCTGATCTCTTAAACAAGGCTGATTCTCTCCAAATCTAAAACCAATCATTACTACTTTCAATTCCTCCCCAAAATAAGTTGGTGGTAGACAAAATAAACATGGAGGAAGATAGACGAACAAGAAGAAGAAACAGTGGAGGACATCCTCTGTTGAGATCTAAGAAGAGAGAAGAAGAACAAGTTGGCTACTACAACCATGGCTTCTCACCCTCTCAGATTCATTCTCTCGCCGCCATCTGTCAAACTCTCCTCCCTCCGTCCGACCAACAGTCTTTTGATTCCTTCAACGTAGCTTCCTCTACTCAGCCACCATTCACTGACGAGGTTCTCTCTCTCTCTTTCTATATCCTCTGTTTTTAAGTCAATCAAGATCTTGCTCTGGTTATAGATACTACTTGCGTTGGACTATGTTGCTGTTGTTGTTGTTGTTGTTGTTGTTGTTGTTTTGTTTTGATTGAAAGACCAAATTTTGTTGTTGTTGTTTTGTTTGGATATTCTCTAGGTGGCAGAGATGATTGTGAAAAACGGACGATCAGAAGCAGTAAAGGTTTTGAGAATCATACTGATGATTTTGTCATTTAGATTTGGAACTTTATTGCTCTGTGGCTCTCTCTGTCTTGACAAGAGTTGGCCTTTTGTCCTTAAATTCTCTGAACTTCCATTAGATAGAAGAGAAGAGATCTTGAGGAAATGGTCGAGAAAAAGTGGATTCCTTCTTCCGTTTCGGATCACTTTCTTCCTTTCAAAATTCTACACCCTCTTCTACTTCTTCTCACAGGTGGGAATATATACAAACACAATAATTCAAGTTTATTTGAGTAACTTTGAATAATGAGTTTTTTTATTTGTTTACAGACAGATGAGAATCAGAAGAATCCTGCATTGGAAGCCATAGGGTATTCCTTAGACACGGCAGATGCAAGTAGCAACAAGAAGACTGAAGCAGATGAGAAGCGACGACCTCTCCAAAGAGGGATCGTTGAGACGATGCATGAGAGTGATATTACCATCACACAAACTCTAACTGAAAAAGGTGTTTATGTCGCTAAAGACGATGGTGAGAATGTGCACAGGATCAGATGTGATGCGGTTGTAGTGGGTTCTGGAAGTGGAGGAGGTGTTGCAGCTGCAAACCTTGCTAAAGCCGGATTAAAAGTCTTGGTTCTAGAGAAAGGAAACTACTTTGCAGCTCAGGATTATTCGGGTCTTGAAGGTCCTTCTATGCTTGAGTTATACGAGAAAGGCGGGTTTTTGACGAGTGTTGATGGAAAATTTATGATCTTGGCTGGTTCAGCTGTTGGAGGAGGTACAGCTATTAATTGGTCCGCATCTATAAGGACTCCAGATCATGTTTTGCAGGAATGGTCGGAAGAGAGTAAGATCAAGTTTTTTGGTAGCCAAGAATACAAGACTGCAATGGATGAAGTTACCACAAGGATTGGTGTCACGGATAAGTGTGTCAAAGACGGGTTTCAGAACCAGGTTCTTCGGAAAGGGTGCGAGAGACTAGGGTTACAGGTAGAGTCAGTTCCAAGGAACTCACATGAAGATCATTACTGTGGCTTGTGCGGGTACGGATGCAGAGCAGGAGACAAGAATGGGACAGACCAAACTTGGTTGGTTGATGCTGTAGAGAATGGTGCAGTGATCCTCACAGGAATCAAAGCTGAGAGATTTATATTAGTAGACAACACTGACAGTAGTAGCAATGAGAGACAGAAACGATGCGTGGGAGTCATTGCGAGCTCTGTTGGAGGAAAGATTGGGAAGAAGTTCATGATCGAAGCTCGAGTGACGGTTTCATCAGCTGGTTCGCTGTTGACACCGCCTTTGATGCTTTCAAGTGGGCTAAAGAACCAGAACATAGGGAGGAACCTAACGCTGCACCCGGTTTTGATGACATGGGGATACTTCCCGGAGAAAGATTCTGAGTTCTCTGGGAAAATGTACGAGGGAGGGATCATCACTTCCCTCCATCATATGAATGATGCTGAATCAGGATGCAAAGCAATACTGGAGAATCCACTGATAGGACCAGCTTCATATGCAGGGTTGAGCCCGTGGGTTTCAGGAGCAGACCTTAAGGAGCGGATGATGAAATACGCAAGAACAGCTCATTTGTTTGCTCTGGTTCGGGACATCGGCTCAGGTGAGGTTATGAAGGAAAACGAGATTACATACAGAACGACCAAAAAAGATAGGGAGAATCTACGGGCAGGGCTTCGACAAGCTTTGCGGGTTTTGATTGCAGCAGGTGCAGCTGAAGTCGGAACATATAGGTATGCTACTCACAACCTGAAACAGAGTTTAAGTACAAACTTAAAATTTATAGCAAAAGTGATATCATTTCACCCATCGGATTTCGCAGGAGTGATGGACAGAGGATTAAGTGTGAGGGAACTAGTAGAGAAGCCATAGAAGAGTTTCTAGACGAAGTTGATGCAGTTGGTGGAGTGAGCACAAAAGGAGAATACTGGACGACATACTTCTCAGCCCACCAGATGAGTAGCTGCAGGATGGGAGCCACTGCGGAGGAAGGTGCGTTGGATGAGAACGGTGAGAGCTTTGAAGCAGAGGGACTGTTTGTTTGTGATGGAAGTGTATTGCCTTCAGCTGTTGGAGTAAACCCAATGATCACCATTCAGTCTACTGCGTACTGCATCTCCACAAGGATAGTTGACTCACTGCAAAGCAAAGATAAAGTATAGAGAGAAAATAGAAAGGAAGAACTAAAAAAACCATTTCAGTTCCACTAATAAAGAATTCATATTCTGATTCGTAAAAATTCATGTCGAGTTTTTTTCCTTGCAGTATACATTTCTGTTATTGAACATTTCTGATGCCGTGATAGCCAATTTCTGCAGCTACACCACATACATAGTTTAGGTAAGCCTTGATAGCATCCACCTAGGAATAAAGTAAACAAATGCTCTTCAAGCATTATTATCTTTACCAAGATTAAAAAATGTAAGCAAATAATATATGCACCAAGATCAAGAAATGTTAAGTTTGTAAAAAAAAAAAAGCTTTAATTTTCACAATATGAGTCTGTAAGAGGATCAAGTAATTATCTATACTATTTCCTTTATATTTCCTTAGTGGCGAGAAAATATGTAAAACGAAAAGAATGTAAAGTTTATTTCTTGTTGCACAAGAGAAAAAGTAAAAATTAATTTCTTAACATTTTGTCCAAAAAATGTAAAGTTAATAAATACAGAAGATTACGTGACGAAACTACTTTAATGAAAAAGGGAAGATACATATGCATTTTCCTTATTCACATACAAAGGGCTGTCTATAAATATAATTTGATAAGTCTAATTTAACGAAGCAAGTAAAACATAATTAAACAAAAAACAATCTCGTCAAGATGTATGACAGTAGCGTTGGTGCCTATGTCGTAGGCGGCGTCGTCATCTTCTTCGTCGTCGTGGTGGCCTTTCTGGCGTGCTGGTGGCGAGAGATTCGTAATCATTTTAGAGACAAGTACTAGTGGTGTTCGCGGTTCTGCTAGCTCTTACAATGTGTCTGCCTTTGTTTTACTATGATTTTTCTTAATGTTTCATTGGTTTTTTTCAATTAATAAACAATCTTTAACCAATTTTAATTTATATCTATCGTTTGTGTTTGGTTTTTACATTCCGTTTGTGTTTGGAGGATATAATAAAGTAATAAACTCTACAAAGTACAAGATCTTGAAGATCTACGAGAGTTTATAATTATCTTTTTGTTAAAAGAATCTAAATAACTCTACATCAAAAAAAAAATCTGACTAAATTTTAAAGTCAAATCTCATTATTATTAAGTCTATATAAGTGTAACATCAAATAACACTTTACTAAACCCTAGATGCACAACACACGCATGGCCGAAACTGAAACGACACACACTATCGAAACCCTACTCCGGTACATCGGAAAAGAAGAAAGCCGAGAAGAAGTGGCAGAGCTCGAGGATCAGATCTCTAACCTGCCACGGAGAAGTCGATGGCGTCGAGCAACCGCCACGGGAAGAAGGGTTCGGCTGTGAAGATGACTAGGATGTTTTCATCTCTACCGCCTCCTCCGCCTATTGATTTAAGCGAAGGAGGGGCGGGGAAGTCGAAGAAGAAAAGGAGGGGAGTTTCACTGTTGATGAGGTTTGATCGGACTGGAGCCACGGAAGTGGTGGGATGTGACAAGAGCACCATCATCAAACGTGCTTCCGTATCGGCCAAGGATCTGAGAACTGCTTTCTCTCACTCTTCTAAAATTATCGGTACACGTTCTGACCTAGTTTGTTTTTTTTGTTTTGTTTTTCAAAACAGACAATAAAAAATCCAATGTTTTGGTTTGCAGCGAGAGAGAAAGCTATTGTCCTCAATCTAGAGGTCATAAAGGCAATAGTTACCGCAGAAGAAGTTCTGTTACTGGAACCTCTCCGTCCTGAAGTTCTTACACTAAGTGAACGACTCAAGCAACACTTTCCTCAGAGGAAATGTCTAGCGCAAGCTTCTGCTAATGTGCAATCTTCTCTTGATGATCCAGAAGATGAAGAGGATTCGGAGAGTGAGCTTCCTTTTGAAATTCAGGTCTTAGAGATTGCACTCGAGGTCGTCTGCTCATTTGTTGACAGCAATGTGACCGCCCTTGAGACGCAAGCCGGATCTCTTCTTGAGGAACTAACCAAGAAGGTCAGCAACGAGAATCTTAAACAGCTACGAAGTTTAAAAACTAATCTCACATACTTGCTAGCCCGTGTACAAAAGGTAACTGTTATCTTTTCCTATGATACTATAATATGTTGTGTGATGGACGGAAACATGAAGCTGTTGTACAATTCTTTAGGTGAGAGATGAAATCGAACATTTCTTAGACGACAAGGAAGACATGGCAGACTTGTGCTTAACAAGGAAGTGGATCCAAAACCAGCACGCAGAGGCAGCATCAAATAGTGTTGTGGCCCCATCAAATCTTCAACGCCTCACATCAAACAAAAGCTCTGGCATGTTAACGGACGAAGATGACGACGGTGAGGATGTGGAGATGTTGCTGGAGGCATACTTAATACAACTGGCGGGAATGCGGAACAAACTTCTTATGGTAAGTAATAAATGCATGTACTTCTATGCTCGGTGTTGGTTAATTTGGATATTTGTTAACAAAACAGAACTGCAGATGAAGGAGCACATTGACGACACGGAAGACTACGTCAAGATACTACAGAATAGTAGACGTAACGGACTGATCATCCTACTGCTGATGGTGAATATAGCCAATTTTGCAATAACTGCAGGGACATTGGTGGTCAACTTGTTCGGTATGAACATACATATTCCATTGTATAGCACACCTGACGTCTTTGGTTACTTTGTGTGGGGTGTTGCTGCTCTTTGCATTGTGCTTTTCATGGTCACCCTTGGTTACACCAAGCGGAAGAAGCTGCTTGACTTCTAGACTCCAAACTCACCATGATGATTAGATGACACATTTTCTACCAAATTTAAGAGTTGTTTTAGTCATTATAAGTTTGCTGTTTTTTGTTTTGTTCTTTTGGTTTTAGTGGTTCTTTATGAGTCAGATCTTTAAGAACAATTTTGCTATACTGATTTTCAATAAAAGAGGGTTGGCTTTTAATATTACTCTTGAAGATTTTGACTCATATTTATGCACCATTTTGCTTAGGAATCAACGTTATAAGGAAGCACTAAGAACAGAAAGATTGACTCATTATTTGGGAACTACTTTATATTGCATAGAAAAGAACATACAAGGATGTTACAAACTTACAATCTGTATGACCAAAACCTTTTATAGCTCTTTTCCTACAGTGATCTTTTGAGTGAAAACTACGCTGTTCCTGTTGCAAACTAACAGAACGGGGTTACTTTAGCCTTGTCGATCCACGAAGGTCTCTTTGCTTTATAGTAGAAATGCGCAATCATATGAACCAATTCATCCGCTGTGCGAAAGTCTGCATCAAGTTCAATACAATATGATAATCCATTGCTCAAACATGTAGCAAGAAACGAAAAACAGCTTAAGCAACGCATCTTATCACCTTTCTCCCTGTACAGAATCCGGTTTCCGCGTAAGAACAAAATTTGCGGACATTCCTTAGCTTTAAGGGCATATGCCAAATCTGTCTCAATGTTCAGGTCAATCTTAACCGCCTGTTTCATCAAACAAACATGGTTAGATTCTTGCTAGCAGAGAGCAGCTACGTCAAAAAAAGAGTTATATCAAACAGCATGTAACCACATCAATGAGACCAAAGTTCATTTGACATAGAGAATAATGCACAAGTTTTAAAGATATACTGCAAATAAGAGAAGGCTTCTAACATACCCGTGGTGGTAATCGATCTTTCGCATCCCAATAAACTTTAATCGCTTTCTCAAGCTCCTTCAATGTCTTCCAGTTATCACTAGCCCTATAAACATCCAGCAATTCATAATGATTATTCCACCTATAGTACATTATGGTCACTCTTGAGACTTTGAACTGAAAATCAAAGTTTCAGCTATATAGTTAAGAGTTCAAAATATCGTCTGGAACATGTTATAAAGTAAAAAGACAAAACTTTCATAGCTTTAATACCTTTCTACTATGCACACCAAGTGTTTGTGAAAATTCGTCAATGAAATAAACAAGCCTTTACCTTTTGTATCGCTCGAATACAAGGACAACGAGCGGGCTAGGATGAAAAGCAAAGCTTTCCCACTCCAAACAGTTGATCTCCTTGACCCAGTTATCATCAATCTCACCTTCCCAATCAATCTCAGTCCCGTCTTCTCCAACAACGTTTTTGATGGGATGTGTATCGAAATAATCCGAAGCTTTGATTCCCCATCCAACATCTGTATCTACTGGCCAATCTGGATCTTCCTCTTCCACCACCATCTCTTCTTTTTCTTCTTCTTCTTCTTCTACCTCTTCCTCCTCTTCATCAACGCCTCTGTCTTTGATGAAATCAGCCTTCTCCTTGTTCTCGAAAACTTCCGGATTCTGCTCACGTATCGTTGAGAACGTCCGCTCGAGTGAGTTTCTCACAAAATCTTCCACAGCGTCTGCTTCGCTCCGCCGGCCGCGCTTCGATTTACGCGGGACCTTTGTCGGAAACTTATCGTTCTTCCCGTCTTCAGCACTTGGCGTGGCAACTTCCTTCTTCTGACGACGGGACCGAGTTTGATTCTTGGATTCAGGATCGGGTACCGAATCAGACGACACAGCGGCGAGGCATACGGGAAGTTTCACGGTCCGTGATGATAAACTCGCCGGGAAAATCGATTGTGGACTGCGATTCACATCGGAGGAGATCAAATTCACGCCGGTGAGATGCATAAAAGCTCTTGGCGCGGAGCAAGCTACAGTGAGGAAACTCATTTCTCTCTTTTTAGCCCCAAATTCAAATGCAGAGAGTTTTGGTCGAATTGGGGTTTTTAAATCATCTATAAGGGAGACGAACCAAACGACGCCGTTTTTAACTTAATGAACTAAACCAAGTATTCGGAACAGATTCAAATTAAAACCGGAATGGTAACGCAAACCGGAAAGACAACCTTAATTTAATTCTTATAAAAAAATGAACTCTTTTCTTTTGGTAACAAGTGAAAATTTAATGTATATAATTATTTTTCTTTTGGCAGTTTTTTTGTATATGTATTCTATTTTTGAAATTGTATATGTTGACCACAAATTAAATATGTATCTTGATAAATGATAAAAGATGTAAAATTTACATACTTGCCAAGTTCAAAAAAAGAATACATATACAAAAAAACTGCCAAAAGAAACATTTACATACTTGCCAAGAACCTAAAATATAAAGTTAACATTTCTTTTCTGACCTCAAAATGTGAACTTAAAATTAAGATTTATAATTTGTGAGCAAGAAGAAGAAGAAGCAGACGACAAAAGCTAAAGCTAAATAATTTGGTTTAACGGGAACGAAGATCGATCGTCGAGATGGAGAAGATAGTGTTTGGAATGATTGTGTTAGGCTTTGTTATCTGCAGCGTGTCGGTTTGTCGTCTCGTACGTTACCTATGTGAAAACAAGTGTGAAGAACCTAATAATACTAATAATCATGATGATGGATTAGTTCGAGGTAAGTCAATTATCTAAAATGTTTTTGTTTCGAGCTCTTTGATGGAGTATATCAATTTTCTTATTAGTGACTCGATTTTTTGTTGTTTTTGTTCGGTTTGAATAATGTTTTTAGTACCATGACGACATTCTCGAGGACACAAACTTATGGACCGCACCCGAAACCCGTGAACAACAAAATAAAAAAAAACTAACTTCTTTTCTACCATCAACTATATTTTACTTATGTAAGACATTTTTTTTTTTTGGTTAAAGAGTTTAAAAAGAGTTGTTATTGGTTATGTTTCTCGTATTCATTTCTTTATCTACATTCGTATTATACACGAGCTAGGTAGGTACTATGTTCTAAACTAGGTTTGCAATCAGTTTGCCGTATTACATAGTACGATCTTTGTAGATGGGTAATAAATGTTTACGAAAATGTCATATGAAATGTGGTGAGGAGTTTTAGAATGTGTTTTTGGTAAACTCGATTGCATGCCAAACCTTTGGGCTTAGGATTCTATCTCTCACTCAGTGAATAAATGAATGGTACAGTTGGAAGTTGGAACATATGATTATTTTGTTGATCACATGGAATTCACAAATTGAAAGCATTCAGACTCGTGGACCATTTGGATAGTTCGATGCTAATGTATTGGTTTAGATTAATTAGGTTCCATGTGCATGCAAATGTAATTTGGTTTTGTGTTGTTTCTTCTAGTTTTGTTTTTTGCATAGACTATATATGCGTTTTTAATCTACTTCACTGATATAGAAGTGACAGAATTCACAATTTATCTTATCTCGATTCTTTTATATATGTTGTCTTCGTGTTGGTACTTTTTGAAACCTTTTTAATGGGACCAAAGTAAGCAATTATTATCACCGAGGAAGATTTTAACTCATAAAACTCTTCAAATACATAAATCTGTATTGGTACTTATTAATTTTTGTTGTTGTTGGTCGTCTCGTCTGCCATATGCTAATATGACAGATTCATGATTGCATGTTAAAGATTGAATAGGAATTTATAAAGGATGGATGATGGGATTTAACCATATATTGAACTTCAAAGATGGAAGTTGATATTTCATATTTCACAAAATGACAGCTAGCTTATACACAATTTCTTTTTTTTTTTGTTCTTAACCTGTAAAAATATAGTCATAAACCATAATGTCCAACTATTTTCACCTAAACATCTACCTAACAAGAGTCAATACTCCCTAGATTACAAAGTCTCTGTCCACACACATTTATAATAATAAAAAATAAACAAAATTAACCAATCTATTTTAAATTCATTTTTTTTTGTTGTTGGTCGGATTTTAAAATTCATTTCTTAATGTTAATGGTAGAGTATAAGATATATAGTACAAATGGAACATCTATGTTTTTTTAGATAATAAAATCTAATAAAAAAAGAATTCACAGGAGAATATATTATTAATTTCCCATGCTCCATCATTTTTTCTTGTTGCCATTTCAAAATGTCCATGCTCCATCATTTTTCAAAACCACTTTATCGAATTTAAAATTTAGCTGACCACTATGTAAAAAATAAAAAATGAATCGAAATAATTAATGAGAGAAACAAAATAGAAAAGAAGTAATTAATGAAAACAAAAAATCAAGGGACCTCCCAAAAAGACATTTAAAAAAAAAAAACATTAAAGATGGAAACAAAAAGAAAAAGGAAGTAAATAAAAAGGTAATAAATGGCTTTTTATTTTTTATTTTATTAACTAAATAATTATAAAAACACATCTGTATCTGTCTCTCATGTCTCGTGTTCCTGAGAGCTTCTAAAAAAATTCCATCTGCTGTTTTTATTCGCTCTGCACTTATTCTTCTTCTTCTTCACATTTCACACCTTTTTGTAATTTTTGGGTATTACTGAACAAAACACAAAACAAAGAGGCAAAAAAAAAAAAACTCACTCACAACGATGCATAAAGCGACAAAGGCAAAAGGCGTTTAAGAGAAAAAGTAAAAGTCTGAAAAATTTAACAAAAAAAATAATAAGGAAGAAGAAAAGATCAGATTTTTCTTTCTTTCTTTTGATTGTTTCCTCACTTTGCTTGATTGCTTCGTATTGGAATAATCTCAAGAATTTCGAGGCAGCCATGGCTGTCTCCTTTCTTATCATCTTTTCTTCTTTCCCCCAATTTCAAAGGTATCTTCTTCGTCTTCTTTTTTCCCCTCTTGATCCTTCTTACTTCTTCAATTGGGGTATATGCGATTCGATCTGATTTAGGGTTTTTATTGTTTAATTGTCAATTTCATTCTTAAATTTTCGAGCTTTTGGGTACTTTACTGTGTTTATAATCCCCACAGTTTCTCGATTGTCTCGCGGATTCGCTTTTTCTTTCTTCTTTTCTAGGGGGATGGGTTTTAAGTTTAAAAATGCTGAAAATTGTTGTGACTGTTCATGTATTTTCAGTTCGTAGCGTTAATTCGATTATCATAATAAGTTGTGACTGTTCATGTGTTTGAGTTAGAATCCTCTGTTTCTTCTGTTCTGTTTTTAATACAATTCTTGATCTCTCGTTGAAGTTATATGTCTGTTCTTTTAACTTTGGTCTCTGGTGTCATTTCTGAAGATCATTGAGAAGCTATGAAGAACAACGGGATTACTAGTAGGCCTGAGAAGTTGCATTTACGCAAACTAAGACAAAGTCTGAGGAAGATCAGAATGAAGTGTTTGTGTTCTGGTGAACAAATGAGACTTAGAGAGGATGAAGACGACAAGAAATCTGAGCTTGGAGCAGGCAGAGACTACAATGGGAGCTCAGCTTTATCAGCTGCGGATAGCGACAATGCTAAGAAACTAGATAATGGCAACATTGAAGAAGCCGAGTTATCTCTCCGTGAGACAAGTTCGTTGAACTATGAGGTTCGGTTTCTTGATCACTCGTGAGCTTTGTTTATCCAACAAGCCGAGTCCATGTGATAATTGTGTTGTTGTGTTTGGTTTTTAAGGAGGCGAGAGCGCTTTTGGGAAGAATTGAGTATCAGAAAGGGAATATAGAGGCGGCATTGCGAGTCTTTGAAGGGATAGATATCAATGGGATTACAGTTAAGATGAAAACTGCTCTAACCGTTAGAGAAGAACGAAAACATAGAAGACGGTCTAAAGGCGGCTTTGCTGCTACTCCTCAGTCTTCCATGTCTAAACATGCTGTTAGTTTGCTTTTCGAAGCCATTTATCTCAAAGCCAAATCTCTCCAGCGTCTTGGAAGGTTCCAAGGTAGTACCAATCTTATCTTTTGATTCCTTTCTTTTTTCGTTTTTTCTTTCTTGGCTAAACGGAAATATTCGGTGCTTCTTCTTGCAGAAGCTGCACAGTCTTGCAGAGTTATTCTTGATATTGTCGAGGCCTCTTTATCGGAAGGAGCGTCTGAAAATGTGACTGGCGATATTAAATTGCAGGAGACGCTGATGAAAGCGGTCGAGCTGCTTCCCGAATTGTGGAAGCTTGCTGATTCACCGCGTGATGCTATTTTGTCGTATAGACGAGCACTTCTCAATCACTGGGAAATCGATCCAGAAACCACGGCGAGAATTCAGAAAGAATATGCTGTGTTTCTCCTCTATTCCGGGGAAGAAGCAGTGCCACCAAACCTGCGTTCTCAGACTGAGGGCTCATTCATTCCAAGGAACAATGTGGAAGAAGCTATTCTTCTTCTGATGTTACTTCTCATGAAAGTTAATTTGAAAAGAATCGCGTGGGATGCGGCAATCTTGGACCATCTCTCGTTCGCTCTTACAATCGCAGGCGATCTTACTGCTCTTGCTAAGCAACTCGAAGAGCTTAGCCCCGAGATCATGGATCAGAGGGAACTTTATCATACATTATCGCTGTGTTACCAAGGTGCAGGGGAAGGTCTTGTCGCGCTTGGTTTACTGAGGAAGCTATTTTCGGAACGGGAGGATCCAAACCGGATTTCTGGTTTGCTGATGGCTTCCAAGATATGCGGTGAGAGAGCTGGTCTCGCTGAGGAAGGCTTGGATTATGCCCGCAGAGCGATCGAAAACTTGGGGAGAGAATGCAGTCAGTTAGACGGAGCAGCACGTCTTGTTTTAGGGATTACGCTCACAGAAAGCTCGAGAATGGCGGTCACTGAGACCGAGCGGATAGCTAGGCAATCTGAGGGGATTCAGGCACTAGAATCTGCAGATTTGACAAACCCAAGAGTTGTGCACCGTCTTGCTTTAGAGAATGCAGAGCAGAGGAAGCTGGATTCTGCGTTAACATATACTAAACAGGCGTTGAAACTTGGAGCAGAGTCAGATCTTGAAGTATGGTTGCTTTTGGCTCGGGTTTTGTCTGCGCAGAAACGGTTTTCAGACGCGGAGACCATCGTGGATGCTGCGCTTAACGAGACAGGGAAATGGGAACAGGGGAAGCTGTTGCGTCTGAAGGCAAAGCTTCGTTTAGCTAAAGGGGAAGTGAAGGATGCGATTAAGACTTACACACAACTTCTCGCACTCCTTCAGGTTCAGAGCAAAAGCTTCAATTCTGCAAAGAAGTTGCCGAAGGTAATTTTTCGCAAGATTTCATTTCTCCGCCAAACTCTGCAACTGTGCAGAAGAAACCCTGAGACAGGTTTATTTGTTACAGGGATATGTAGAAGTATTGAAGAGTCTGGAGCTTGGGACGTGGCATGATCTGGCTCATATATACATAAACCTCTCGCAATGGCATGACGCAGAGTCATGTCTCTCGAAATCAAGACTTATCGCGCCTTACTCTTCTGTTCGATACCATACCGAAGGTATAGTGAGATTAAGAACGACGGTTTTGTGTGCATTTACATGTAACGTGTATTGTTTCTAAATGTCCCGCAACCCAAATATAAAAATTCTCGATGGAATCGCATCAAGACAGTATTGTTGATAACTTATTTATACTAATTGGCAGGTGTATTGTACAAGAGACAAGGGCAAATAGAAGAAGCAATGGAGGCGTTCAGAACCGCTCTAGACATTGATCCTATGCATGTCCCAAGCCTAATATCGAAGGCTGAGATCCTACTGGAGCTTGGTAACCGATCAAGCATAGCGGTTGTAAGAAGCTTTCTAATGGAGGCTCTTAGGATTGATAGGCTGAACCACTCGGCTTGGTACAATCTTGGAAAGATGTTCAAAGTCGAAGGATCCGTCTCGTCTATGCAAGAAGCCGTCGATTGTTTTCAAGCCGCCGTTACACTGGAGGAAACAATGCCAGTGGAGTCATTCCGATGATTTTGCCGTCTCAAAACATATATATTTTTTTTGTATTTGGTTATGATTTCTCTTCTTCTGATTTTTTTGTGTGTTTTTTTTTTTTATAGAGGAATAGAAGATATAAAGATGTATGTGAGGTATCATTTGATGTCAAGTTTATAAACATTCTGTAATACACATTTAAACAAAGATTAATATAGGGTTGGTGAGGTTCATCTTGTAAACCAGGTTTTAATAAGCATTCTGAAAGAGTGCATTTTGTGGAGGAAAACTCCAGGTTTAACATTCTAGAAAAGATTAACATAAGAATCTGTATCGGTAAAACTAATGATGAGTTGAGTATTTAGATTACATTCGAATGATGAAGATTCTCCCAAACTAAATCTTTACTTTATTTTTAGTTTCTTCCTTGGGGATCTGTTGTTTGTCTACACAGCTGATTGAGAGAGTCTTCCATCAGAAAAATAGTTCAACAGTAGAGAGAGTAGTCCTGAAGAACCTCAAGATAAGAGCTCTCGCACTGTTAAACTCTGAAACTTCGAATTTTCCAACAAGCGGGATTCTTTCAATTGTCGGTTTTGGGGCGCTTTGCCTTTGGAGATTCTGGCTCCTCACAAATCCTGGTTTCTTCTGCTGCTAGCTCCTTTGAATCAGCAATTTTCTTGTCTTCTTGTTCAGATTTGGCTGCGGAATCTGATGTTGAGGCTGTCCCTTTGGTAAGACCCGAGTTTTGCTTCTCGAACATCATTTGCAGGTACTTGCCTTGTTCTTCTATCCGGAGTTGCAAATTTCTTTGAATCTGCAGGCACAGGAGAAGAAAATATTCTTTACATCCAAACTCAAAGTACATAAAATCAAGTCTCACATTTTTTACTCTTTTTCAGCTACAATCCAAACACTATCAAAATCTCACAAGACAGGCATAGAAACCAAAGCTGGCAATGCCTTTACTAACATACCTCGAGCTGCTCATGGAGTTGCTTCTGTACTTCCATCTGAAGTCGCAGAGCCTCTGTAATACCTATCCCACTGCAGTATAAATATGTAAAAGGTGAGAATCTGTTAATAATGGTGTAGCACTTGTGAGTCACCAGAAATAATAAACCTTACCCTTTCAAATCAAGAGATGTTATATGTTCAAGCGGTGTTAACTTTTTCTCTGGCGAACCTGTAGTGACCAAAGAGACTTTAATTTCTGAACCTTCAGTAAAAAATTATCAAGGAAGATGGGAACGAGTTCGGTATCTACCAGTTTCTGATGGCTCTGGCCGATATCTAGCTGTCCTATATTTCTGAAAAAACACCATCTTATAATTAGAAGATATATTTTATACATGTAGCAACAGGAGCTGGGAGGAAAATATTAGTAAGAACCTGCAAATGGCTTTTGACATGATATATAGTCAAGCCTTCAACTTTCATTATCTTCAGTACACCTTTAGGAGTAGCTCCTGTGTAAAATATGAGTTAAACAGAAGATAAAGTAGTCATTTTCCATACCTCAATACAAAGTTAATGGAAAGCAAATAAAAATAAATGCTCACTTTCACTGCCACCAAGACTGTTGACAGCCTCAACAAAAGCCTCGTGAAGCTCCGGCGTCCAGCGCATACGTGCCTTGCCTGTTCCGTTATTGCTGTTTGAAGATGTTGTGCTAACAGGTCGTAATTCCACGGATGGAGAAGGTTGCTGCTGAACAATCTGAATTTGCAGTGACTTTTGGTCCTGAAACAGTGTATCCAATTGAAAACAGCTTGAGAATACGTACATCAAAATAGAACAAGTAAAAAAGACTTGTAACAAAAAAAATTAACAACCTTAGAATCTGAATTGGAACTTGTTTCAAGCAAGAGATCATTCCAAGTAGACATCAATGGATCTTCATCGGTAATTAAGTGGTCAGCCCATTCATGCCAATCACTTCGTTTTTGAATGTCATCAAACGCAGCCCCAATGCCACCATCCTCAATATGACTGCTGTTCTGAATCGCCTGGTGGTTCTCAGGAAAATCAAGAAACTCCCCTGGCAGTGAATCATGACACCAAGAGCTATCGTTGCTCGATGTCTGAACAGCATTACTGCTGCTTCCTGTGTAGTGTTGTTGTTTCTCATGAGACACCATAGATGAGTAATGAAGATTAGTTGAGAAACCCGATGATGAGGAAGAACATATATGTCCAACTGCTCCACCATTACTTGAGGAAAGCAAATGGTAGGTTTGTCCTAAAGGCCTCGACATTAACTGACTGTTGTTTTCTGATCTCATAAAAACATCTTCTGCTGCTGACGATTTTGGTACAGATGGAATAGAAGAAGTGCGGGCGAGGTTACTACTGAGGTCTCTCGAACCTGATCTCTGAAATGGACGAGCCTCCATTGTTATCCTGCAAAAACCAAAAATCATAATCCCCAAAGTTGATTAAGCTTCTACAAATATGTAAAGACAACATCATTTAAAAGTGGTTGAGCTATAGAAAAGACTAAAAAACCTTGCTAGTATACTTAAATGAAGACTCTAGTGGGTACAACCCAAGTCGAATCATCAACTCTCGCATCTGAGACACATCAAAAATACAGATACATAGGTGAGAGACAAATCAAACACCTTCTCTAGTAAAAAAACAAACATGTACATCAAAACCTCAGTGAACACAGAAGCGATCTCTAGAAATAGAGACAGAACGGAACAGCATCAAATTGTAGAAACAGAGAGCATAGTAGTGGCAGTTTTTAAATGGTACTTCAACGAAATGTAGCGTAGAAGAGAGCCAGAAAATTTGAATAAGAATCGATCATGAGAGAAGTAAGAAGACAGTACATAAACTATTATAATGAAAACACAAGCATCGAGAATCAACGACAAAGCAAACACATTCTCCAACCAAACACCAAATTCGCTGGAAAATATTTTGAAAAACCAAAACCAAAATCGAATCCGAATCCACCAATCATAAACGAAGAAAGCAAAGCTATCTGCGAATTTTATGCTCGAAAGATATAAAATTCTCTCTCTCACCCTTAAAAAAAAAAACAGTGTAGAATCGAAAATTCTCACCTAGCGATTCATTAAGGAGGTAGGAGACGAATCGAATCCGAGAACAAATGATTATAAAAATCCCTCTTTTTCAGGAAAATCGGAGGAATCAATCTCCTTGTATGTTGTCCGCAAGAGCCACCAAGTTGACGGTGATGATTGATTTTTTTCGCCTTCTGTAAAAAAAAATTTCCTCCTCGAACAAACAACAGAGGTGGTGGTGGCTGTCTTAACAAAGGATGGATCAGCCGTCGTTTCTTCACGCGCTGTGATACCGCGTGTGAGTATGACTCTCTTGTCTGAACATACGTGCACCACTTGTATTGGATAATCGAAATCATTTACTGGGCTTGGTCTTTTTCGATTTATTTTATTTATTTAATCTTGAGTTTCTCTGATATTTCTGCTCCTTTCATTCTCTTATAAGGCCACTAGGCCCAAAGTGCCTACAAAAATCATTCAGTTTACAAATATGTATTCCTTTCTTTGTCAACAAGGCTCCAACTTATTAATTATATCTACACAGAATCACAGATGACTTAAAAAAATAGTGTAAAACAGGTAAACCCAAAACAAAACTCAATGGAAGTTATAAGCCTAAAACTAGTATCGTTAAGGTTAACACTTAAGCTACCTCTTATATACTGTTTTGTTGTGTCCACAATTTGGCGTATCTTCCTGATTTCCTCAACAACACTTCGTGTGTCCCCTTCTCCACCACTTTCCCTTTCTCAATGACTATTATCTCATCGCATTGCATCGCAGTGGTCAGTCTATGTGCAATGAAAACGCAAGTCCTGTTACTCGCTAGTGACCTGAGCGTTTTCATTATCTCTGCCTCGGTTGTACTGTCGAGTGAGCTTGTCGCTTCGTCACACAATAGAATCGCTGGTGATTTCAGAAAGGCACGAGCGAGTGCCACTCTTTGTTTCTCCCCACCACTCAGCATCAGTCCTCTTTCTCCCACCGCGGTCGAATATTTATCCGGGAATCTCATTATGGTATCGTGAATTGCTGCTCGCCGAGCTGCATCGTATACTTCTTCCTCTGTTGCTGAAAGGTTTCCATAGTGAATGTTGTGAAATATTGTGTCATTGAAGAGCACCTGCCATAACGTCAGTAGTAAATTAAGGCTGTATTAGTATCGCTTATCTTATATGATGTAACCATGATTTAACATGGTACTAATAAAGGTATTTAGTTATTATAGCGAAGATAGCAACTTACGGTATCTTGAGGGACAACTCCAATGGAGCTACGAAGACTCTCTAGTCTCACTTCCTTTATATCTTGACCATCAATCTTTACATTTCCGGCATCTGTGTCGAAAAATCGGAATATCATCCTAAGAATCGTCGATTTACCGCTTCCGCTGCTACCGACAAACGCGACACTTTTCCCTGCCGGTACCTCGAATGAAATCCCATCCAAGATCTTTCTCTCCGGGACATAACTAAAATGTACATTCTCAAAACTAATGCTTCCACCTTTCAGAAAAAGAGAAGGGAGCTTTGTGTCTATATCTTTATCTCCGATATGGGATCTCTCCTCTAGCAACTGGAACATTGATTTCATGTCCACAAGGCTCTGAACGGTTTCGCGGTAAACACCACCGAGAAAGTAAAGAGGAAGAGACAATTGAAAGAGAAGACCATTCACCATCACCAAATCACCAACTGTCATCTGACCATTCATAATCCCTTGAGAACACAACACCATTGATGTTGACAAAGCTGTACTAAATATGAAACTCTGTCCAAAATCTAAAAAGGCAAGACTCTTCTGAGTTCGCAAGGCAGCGTCTTCGTATCTTCCAAGCAACTCATCGTACTTTCTCGCTTCGTAGTCTTCGTTGTTGAAATACTTAACAGTCTCGTAGTTTACAAGAGAATCTATAGCTCTTGTGCTAGCATCATTATCAGCTTTGTTCATGGCTTTTCTAAACTTGGTTCTCCTCTGCGTCACAGCCAATGTGAAAGCTATGTATGATCCAACAGAGAGACAAGTAATCAACGCAAAAACAGCTCCGAAATTGTATGCTAATATACCTGAGACCATAGCTATCTCCAAGATCGTTGGAACAACATTGAAAACCATAGCTGAGAGGATCGTGTTGATCGCTCTGCTACCACGGTCGATGATTCTGTTCAACGCACCTGTTTCACGATTCAGATGGTAACGAAGATCAAGATCGTGTAAATGCGATAGAACTTTTCGTGATACGGATCGTATGGTGCGGAGAGATACTTTGGAGAAAACAGCAGAACGAAGCTCGTTGAAAGCAGAAGATCCAGATCGAGCAATGCCATAGCCAATGAGGACCGAAGTAGGAGTAGCCATAGCAGCAAGTAGATAAGGATTTGAATTAGCGATTGAAGATGAAGATGAAGAGAGTAAATCGATAGCTAACTTGAAGAGGAAAGGAACTTGAACGTTCAAGAACTTAGCTCCCACGAGACACGCTAAAGCAGCGACGACTCTGAAGCGTAGCTCTCGGTCATCTTTCATCCATAGATAGCTCGAAATCGTGCGGAGGATCTTCTCAGCCGACGTCGTGCTGATTTGTTTATGAGATTTAGAGGTGGTTGGATCTTGATTTGGAGTTGAAGCTGACGTGGAGAAGAACGAAACTCGTGCGTTGACCGGAGATGGAGATGGATCGGAGAGGAACGCATTGATAGCTGGTAGTGATCTCCGAGTTGAGTTACGTTTAATGAAATTGGAGAAACTCTGGTGAGGACGATGATGATAATCAGAACGAAGACGGTAAGAAAGAGAAGCGCGACAGAGGAGGATCGTAGATCCTCTCATCATCGCTTCTTGTCAAAACGAATCACATACAGTTGGGTCCGAATCGATTCTTTGTTTCTCTGTTCTTGTTCAGAACCAGAGTAGTTGAAGAAGACGAAGAAGATGAAGATAATAGATATCATCAACTCGGAAATAACCGGTTCTGGTTTATTGGTTTTGGATAAGATTACAAAATCAGTTATCTCGGAGTGGACCGGTGCTGGTTCACTTGAGTTAAGAGTATAGAATCAGATGCTACTTTTTAGTTACGGTGGTGCACACCGCAGAGAATCTCATACCCACATGGACAACTAATAATAACAACAACACTTTCGAAATTTCAACTCTTTATTTTTTTCTCTATCAAATAAAATTGAAAAATAGGAACGGGTTTAATTGGAAAGTAAAGAAGCAACGGTCGGTTATGTCTTCCCTCCAGACGACAAGGGCTTTTATTCGGACACCACTAAAAATAGACAGCTAAACTCCTTTTTTCTGCCCTTTAAATAATAAATTATTAAATACGTGATTAAAGATTAGATTGCCACTTGATTAAACTAAGCAATACAAATAATGATGATATTGATAGACATCTATAGAGAGCTTTAATAAACCGGGGGGAAGTAATCAGTAATCAGTAATCAGCAATCAGAGACCGTCGAATTAGGGAAAGAAGGACCAGAGGACGTGGGCACGAGTCCCCCTCTGTTCACGTGGGTTCCACGTAGCCATCTAAGTATCTTTTTTCTTAGCCGTCCGATTGAATCCTTTGAAGCTGACATGTGAGCCCCTACTTCTTCTTCTTTTTTTTTGCTTTGGAGATATGTATGCAGGAAATAAGTATGTTTTATTTATGAGATTCTTTTGTTTTCCAACTAACTTTTATAATTGTTTTTAATAATCCCACGGATACAACAATCAGTTTTATTTTCTTTGAAAAAAATCTAATCCGATCTATATATCTATTTTAGATTTTTGGAGTCAATATATACCAACTAAAAACATCTAAATGTTATATAATACTCCACTTTGAAATTCATGTTGGCTTGGCATCTAATCATTTATAAAAAATAATGTAATTGAAAATTATGAGAGTAAATTATCAATTATGTTAATTAGCTGAATTCATTGGGGTTTTTAAAAAACAATTCGCATAATTTCTTAACTTCACCATAAACATTTACCAAAAATTGCTAAAATATTGTCTTACATTTTCAATCGTAAAATATAATTCTTTAAACACAATGGAATTGGAATTCTTACCAAAAAGATAATTGAATTGGAATTAGTCACATAATTATTTTTTTATTTTAAAGAAATTATATAAGTGGATATTGTTAAAAGAAGAAAAACAAAAAGAGGTTTGAGTAAATATATTCACGGAATAAAGTGAGAAATTTATTTTGTTTCTGCCAAAAATTAATTTATTTTCTCTTTCTTTTGCATAAAAATTGATATATTTTTGGTGAGAAAGAAGAAGACTAAAAAAAAAAAAAAGTTAGAGAAGTGAAAAAGAGACAAATCCCACCCGTCGTGTCTTCTTGTTCATCCTTTGTTTCCCTTTTTTTTTCTTCTTTCTCACTGTTTCTGCCTTACTTAAAGTCTCAAACTTTGCTTCAAATTCAACCCATCTCTTCCTTCCCCTTCCCTCACAATCGTAATCTCCAACCACTAATTGATCCATCTCTCTGTACATATTCTTAGCTTCCTGGGTTTGTAATTCAAAATGGAAGGCGGTTCCGCTAGTGGATCAGCTTCGGCTTTATCAAACGATGAAAATCTCGTCGTTTCTTGTGAAGATTCTTCTTCTCCTGTAGGGAATGAGCTTGAGCTCGGTCTTACTTTGAGCCTTGGTCGAAAAGGGTATCGAGATTGCAGGGTTCCTTACGCTGATGATTCTTCTTCTTCTTCTTCATCTTCTTCTTTGAGCAGAGCTAGCGTAGTTGCTGGGATCAAGAGAACAGCTGATTCCATGGCCGCAACTAGTGGGTGAGTGAGATGATTCTCTTCCTTTCCTTTTTTGATTATCCTTAAGAATTATGAACCATTCCATTTCTAGAAAAGCTTTTACATTTTGATCAATTATGGATTATTTGGGAATATCATTGGTTATCAATAGAAACAAAAACAAAAGTGATTTTTGCTTTATTTGGCATCGATTAGACAGAGTGTTCTGTTAACTGGAAAAATTCGACCTTTATTACCAATTATGTCTTTGAATGTGTCTTCCTGATCATATAGAATTTGGTTTGGTCACTGTATGTGGAAATTGAATCTTGCTATCATTCATTATCTATAGATGACAATCTCCTTCTTATGAGATTCTATACTACTTGCTGCTTTAGAGGGAAAGGGAACTTTTTTTTTTCTTTTGGAATGGAGTGGTTCATCCTGTAGAGTGATGCTTTTGCTCTCTGACTTTTTATGTTGAATTTAGTCTCGTTGATGTGGATAATTTTACTGGCTATGAAGTGTTTAGTCCTTTTGTGATTTACTCTATGTTGAGCTTTTGAAACCAATGAAAATTGCAGGCAAGTTGTGGGATGGCCACCAATAAGGACTTACAGAATGAACAGTATGGTTAACCAAACAAAGACTTCAGCCTCTGAAGATCAGAACTCCGAGATTCGTCCAGAAGAAGTAAACAAGAATAGAATTGATGCTACAAAGATGAGAAACTCCATTTTTGTGAAGGTGACTATGGATGGCATTCCAATTGGAAGGAAGATTGATCTGAATGCTCATAAATGCTATGAATCTTTGTCAAACACTCTTGAAGAAATGTTTCTGAATCCCAAAACAGGTGCGCTTTTCGAATCTTGTGGCTCTTCTTTTTTGCTGCTTTTGAGTGTTTTTTTTTCCTTAGTCTGGGATTGAATTGATGATTCTTTCTGTAACCAGGTTCAAACACACGAGAATGCGATGGTCGCATGGAAACACCGCTCAAGATACTACCGGATGGCTCTTCCGGATTAGTACTAACATATGAAGACAAGGAAGGAGATTGGATGCTTGTTGGTGATGTTCCGTGGGGGTATGTATACATATGCTCTTATGCTTGCAATGTTGAGTCCTATGTCAGCTCAAAATTCTGGATCCTGAATCCATGTGTTACTTGTGTCTAGGATGTTTATTGGTTCTGTGAGGAGGCTTCGGATAATGAAAACATCAGAGGCTACTGGTAAAGGTACATACTGATTCGATCAAATCCCGATTTAGTATTGATATATTCCTCTCTTTTTTTGCCATTGTGACCGTGTTTGTGTAATCCATGTTTACAGCTCAAATGATCTTATGAAGCAAATAATAACCTACAAGAATCCTTTATGTTTGAAGCAGTAATAAGACAGATCACAGATCAAAGAGAAGACAAAAACATTGTAAGAAGCTACTTCTTCTTCTCTCCCCTTTACAGTTTCTTGGCCCTGCCATTTTTCTTTTAGTTAGTTTATATGTTCTCATTGTAAATCACACTTCAAAAGCTATAACAAAACCCCTGTCTTGCACAAAAACTGGTTCAGAGCAATGCACAAAGTTAATATGATCTGTAAACAAAAGCAAAGTTATTCTACATGGAAAAATGAAATAAGAGGATCAAGATCTCTCTCTCTCTCTCTCTTCTACATACAGAACACGAATCGAACGAATCAGTCTTATAGGCCTTTCCCTTCTTTCATTACAATCCTAAAGAAGGCCATTTACAGGTGAAGTACTAAAAACCGATGTCTGTTTCTCGGCCATGCTACGACTAGTGTTCTCTTCATTACTGTTACTTTTCCTCCTCGGTTTAGCCTCTCCGAGCATCGATATCACATCTCTCATCGAAGGTCTATCTTTCGGGAGCTTTGTGGTGCAGAGAAGAGCGATCTGCAAAACTAAAAGCATCTCTTCTTGAACAAATCTGCAGTTTCCTACATCAGGATCTAATGTTTCTTCTAGTGATATGTTGTCTCTTATCTTCCTTCTCACCCACTCAACAATGTCCACTGATTCCCCAAACTCCGGCTCCAACGGTCTTCTTCCGGTTAAAAGTTCCAATAAAACGACGCCATAACTGTATATATCTATCTTCTCATCCACCTTCAATGTGTATCCATACTCTGCAAAATGATCAACCAAATTGATGACAATGAACCCGATTATAACCAATTAATAACCGGTACGGTATTTAAAGCATACCGGGAGCAATGTAACCGTAAGAACCGGCGACCATTGAAACGGTTTCTTTCTTCCTGGCCATCATCCTGGCGAGGCCAAAATCGGCGATTCTGGCGTCGAGATTCGCGTCGAGCAAGATATTGTTGGACTTGATGTCTCTGTGAATCACCGGAGGATGACAATCATGGTGGAGGTAAGCGAGGCCATGAGCTACACCTAACGCGATGTTGTAACGCGAAACCCAATCAACGAGAAGCCTCCCGGCGGCGTTTTTGCCGTGAATCGCGTCTCCGAGGTTTCCGTTGAGCATGAATTCGTATACAATCATCATGTTTTTGTCATTGTATAGGAACCCTAGAAGCCTCACGATGTTCCTGTGTCTCAATTTCCCGAGGAGGTTTACTTCACCTACGAAATCTCCGGTTATTCCATCTTCGATATCGGCGGCGGATCTCCAGAGCTTCTTAACGGCGAGGACTGTGCTCGATCGTGACATCTCTGCTTTGTATACGATTCCTGTAGCTCCCATTCCGATCATGTTCGATTCTTTGATGCAGGCTAAGATATCAGAAGCTGTAAATCCTAGTCTATGAAACGCCATCAATCTCCATGGCCATTCACCTTTACTTGCCGTCTCGTCGCCGCAAAAGCCGTTGGTATACCATCTCTTGTATAGAGTTCTCGTAGCGATGGTGAGAATGCCTAGAGCTAGAACCGATGCGATTCCAATTAACCATCCGGCGACGATTCGTTTCCCGTGGAAACTTCTGTGACCTGATGTTGCTCCTTGGAATTTGTTACACGGTGGCAGGACGCCGCCGCAGAGACCGGTGTTGCCTCTTAGATCATCTGGATTTATGGTTCTGAGGAAGCCGTTGATAGGGACTGGACCTGTGAGCTTGTTATATGAGACGTTGAGGAGTTCTAGTGCTGGAGATGTTCCGATGCTCTCTGGGAGTACTCCGGTTAAGGAATTATTGGAGAGATCAAGCACGGCTAATGCTGACATTGTCGTGATTTGTCTTGGGATCTCTCCGGTGAGATTATTGTTTCTTAGGTTGAGGCTTACGAGCTTCTCACATGAAGCAATGCTGGAAGGGATAGTGCCTGTGAGAGTGTTTGATGAGAGATCGAGATTCGAGAGAGAAGGACAATCCTGGAATTGGTCCGGGACTTCGCCGGAGATAAAATTCTCGGAGACTAAAAACGCTTGTAGATTGTGAATGGAGAGGATCGTGGAAGGGAGAGTCGATCGGATTTGGTTTCTTGAGAAATCAATGAAAGAAAGCGAAGTTGAATCTGAGATATCTCCCGGAATCCCTCCGCTGAGACGATTACCAGCTAGTTCAAGTCTTTGTAGCTTCTCAAGCTTGCCGAAGCCGATTGGAATTGAACCGTTGAGCAGATTGTTCTGCATTCTGACACGAACTAGTGACTGGCAAGTGGTTAGAGTTGCCGGAATTGAACCAGAGAAGGTGTTGTTGAACAAAATGAGCTTGGTTAGATTGCCCTTGCTGCACAGGGTGGAAGGAATCTCTCCGGAGAAGGAATTTGAAGAGACGTCAAGCCACTGTAATGGAGAATTCTTCCCAAGATCATTTGGCAGCTTGCCAGATAACGTGTTGTTCCAAAGCTCGAGGACTTGTAACTGCGCTAGATTGCTGATCTCGGGAGGAATGGAGCCGGTGAGTTTGTTGCGCATCAGGTTTAGTAGCTGCAAGTTCTTTAGCTCCGCTATCTCCATTGGAATCTCTCCGGATAATGCGTTATCGGAGAGATCAAGAACCTTTAGCGTGGTAATGTTTCCGATCTCTCTTGGAATTTTCCCGGTGAAGTTGTTCTCGTACAGCAGAAGCGTCTCAAGTGACTTGAGCTTCCCAAGCTCGGACGGAATCTCACCGCTGAGCTTTCCGATGGCCAAGTCGAGGTACTTGAGGCTGTTAATGTTCCCAAATTGCGGTGGAATCGCACCTTCGAATTCGTTGTACCCAAGAATGGCACTTTCAAGTGAAAGAAGCTCGCCGAGAACGCTTGGTAACTCGCCGGTGAGATTGTTTCCGGATAATCCGAGAAATCTCAGCTTCTGTAGATTCTTGAATGAACTTGGAACTGACCCTTGGAAAAAATTCCCCCGGAGATCAAGAACTTCTAAAGAGACCAAGTTCCCAAGATCCTCCGTGAGATTTCCAACGAGATTGTTCCCTGAAGCATTGAGGTGAACGAGTCCAACTGATTCATTGCCAAATAGAAAAAGATTCCCTGAGAATGAATTCTGGCTGATGTCTATAGATTTCAAGGGCGGGATCGTTTTCGGGAGCAGCGAGTCGAATCCGTTGCATGAGATGTTAAACGAGACAAGGCTACTCAGCTGTCTGATGGAGTCAGAGATCTTGCCCGTGAGATTCATTCCCGACAGGTCAAGCATCTCAACATTGCCATGGGAGTTGCACCGAACACCGGTCCAGTTACAGTGATCGCTTGTTTCTGAAAGCTTCCAGTCTTTGAGAAAGTTGAGAGGATCCACAAGAGTTGATTTAACGGAGAGCAAAACGGAGAGCTCATTGTCGATGGAAGCTAAAACAGAGGAAGTAGAACCAATGTAACAGTAGTAGAGGAAGAGAACCAAAACCTTCATCTTCAGCTTCATCGTCTTCCTCTGTCTCAGCAGCTTCTACTGAAACTTGTATCCTTAGTTCATTACCAAGAACAAGACTAGTGAACATGCAAGAAAGTGGAGGGGAGGAAGAAGAGTAGAATAAGAAGAAACTAGGCAAGTATATATGCTTGCTCTGTATATAATTATGTTGTAGAGATATATAAAAAATGAATCTTGGTTTTATGTGGATCTAGTGATCAAAAGGTATGTAGGGTTTACATCTTCTAGAAAATAAAATAAAAACAAGATCTTGGAAGTATTTCAGAAATTTCTTAAGACATGAACATGTGAAGAGAGAATGTGTTTTTTTCTTCTTACAGTTACAACTAATCCAAAAATGTGTTCGGTGTTTTAATATAAATTTTTAGTCAACTATTGATTTGCTGTATAATTAACTTGTGAATGTGTCATTGAATTGATAGCTTAAGAAGCTTAATCAAAAACTAATGTAATTATAAGTTTTTTTTATACATACACTTGGGTGTGTGTGTGTGCGCGCCATAGAGGTAGCTTATGCTTAACTTCATTCTAATACAGCTTTTGTAGAATGTCTTTTTTCTATTTTCTGGCCTTTTTCTTTTTGGTTCTTTTAATGCTTGCCTTGTAAGGGAAAAATTATATAAAAAATACAATTTGAGCTCTTAGCTCTTAGCATATATTCGATCGCATTACACATTCTAATTTGATTAATCCGTGATTTAGATATATACATTGTTAATATATATTGATGTAGGGGGAGGATGTAGCCACCGAGGTGAACGTTCGAAGCATCAGAATGGATGACTTGCACATGTGATGAAGATGATCCCTATAAACCTTTGTCAACAATATTTAATTTCAGATAGGTCCAAATAATTATATATTATCCAGCAATAATGATGAAGATGATCCCACGATCAATCGATATCGATCTCTCACGTTTACTTACTTTGGCCCTTTTGAATTTCTTGGTAAAAAGTTTTATATCTACGTGAAATTAAAATAAAATCGAAACCACCTCATCATCGCCATTATATATGTAAAAAAAACATATTCAATCATAGTTACCATGATGCGTAAGAAAAATATATGAATAAATATTATACTATACTAATGTATGCCACTTCAGAGAGTGGTGCAGGCTTGTTACTGTTCCTTCGTTTGCATGATTGAGTTAGATAAAAGAATCTTTCCATGTTACAGGTTTTTAATAAACATGACAGTGTGTAAACCATATATATATAATAATATCAGGGATAACCCCGGGATATTAACAAAATAAAAACAGTTGGATGATGATGATCAGTACTCTAACTTATGTTATGTTACTATGATAAATTGTATATTATCAATATTTTTGAATGTATAAGCTAAATTGTCCCTAATTAAAATGCTACTTTCTGAAACGTTCTTCAGATTAAATATAATCAAAATGCTATAATCTCATAAACATTTCTATCTGATCATGTCTAAAACTAATAAAGCCATATGAACAACACCCAAAGTCAGTGCCAATGCCTTTAAGGTATAAAGAGAAAAAGGTAAAAATGGAGATGGAATAATAAAAAGAACGTCCAAAGAGAGTTTACATTACAAAGTCTTTATATAGAGTGTAGAAGAGTGTCCCCATTTAGATTTATAACATATAGCCAAAGGGAAATCCCATTTAGATTTATAGCACCCATAGCCAAGTTGGTATTTTTGTTTATCAGTTTTAAACTTTTGATCAAAGTAAAGAAAAAATGTTAAATTGTCAATTGCATATATAAAGATCAAGAACAAGTAAATTTCATAAGGATAAGATAATTAAATTTTTTATTTTTTTAAGAAGCAATTGTGCATATAAATGCACAAGCATATTCGTAAAAAATAAAAACAAATTGTTGACTATACTCTAACAATTACCCACTCTCCTCTCTTAGTCTTACTGATTTTATGTTTCCATACTTCTTACTAGAGACTAAACAGAAACTGTCGCTTCACATGCACTCATGTGGACCGCTCTTTTATATACACTCTCTATCCTTTTTCCATCCTTATTACATTTTTTTGTAATTTTGTAGAAGAAAACATTCCGATCCCTTAGCTAGTTAAATTCTTCTCCATTTTGCTTATTATCATGTCCATCTTAATTCTAAAATAATCTGCTACCTAGTTATTGTAACTGGTATTAGTCTTACACTTTCTTCCAGTCTTGTATCCTTTGCCAGATTTTACCCCAAAAGAACATTGGATGGTTATGTGAGATGTATGGAGTAGTATTTTAAGATCACAAGTTATAGAGTAGGTTGGAAGGGCTTAATGGGATGCATGTGGATCAGCACCTTAATCACTTACTTAAATATATAGTAATAGTCTAATCTAATGTCTATGTATTATTAGAAAGAGAAACCTAATCCCACATACATAAGTAACTCTTTGCTAATGGTGTTTTGTGGGATATATATTCATTAAAAAAAACAAGTAAGTATGTGTATTTGCTGACGATACCTCACATGGCCATAGGATGGGATTCGTTATGGCATCACAGACTTGAGATTTTGAGACTGTCCAGCTTTTCTTTACGATCTGCACGCACGTGCCACGTGTGTCTCATGCACTCGTGAAACACCTCTCTCTGCGCTACTGCCTAAATCCCGAAACGGGCTTATTAAATATGATACTATGGGCCTAAGTTAAAAGCCCGTTAGTTGAGACGATGACGGTATCCAAACGAAGGAAGGAACGGCCTTGGTAGTGACACGTCACCACTCTCCCGCCACCACAGCAGAGCCTTTTGCTTCATCTCTTCTTCCTCCCTCCCCTCCTCTGCCCTGTCTAATCTCCTCGCGCACACACAGACATCACAGGAATGGCTTGTGTTCGTTCGATTGGTTCTTTGACTTCTGTCACTCGTTCCCCACGAGATATTCCTCTCTCAGGTTACGCGGATTTTTACCCTTTTGAGTCTTTCGATTTCGTAGTGGAATCTTTCGTGTTGCATGTAGTTTGATTATGATTTTGTCTGGGAAAATTTCGTGTAATTTATTATACAATGCTGATTCCCCAATGATAATCTCAAGCTAAATCGATTAATGAGAAACGAATCAGTATAAAGTGAGTTCCTTTGCGAGCTCATGATAGCTCCGAATCGAGAATCAAGTTGTTTAGGTAGGAATTTGCTCTAGTCTGATCATGATTTCACATTAGTGTGTGTTCTGGGTACTTGGGGATACTATTAGGGTTCATGTTTCATTTGAAAATGGATAAAGGTTGGATTTTATTTACCTAATTCGGTATCAATGAGGTGTGTGCTTAAAAAACACATTTTGATCCGTTTTTAGCAGGTATTGTTGTATCTTCATGCTCTGTTCTTCCCATCAAAGGCTCCTCGTTCACTGGCTCTCCTGTGTCTCTCCCTAGGGTACAACCCTCATCCCGAACAGCTCTAAGACCGTGGAAACCAGTCCCAATCACGATGATGGTAAAGCCTACGCTCCAATTCATCCAAGGGACGGATGAGATGACGATCCCTGACGTTAAGTTGACTCGGTCAAGAGACGGAAGTAATGGTATGGCACTCTTCTCTTTCGACCAGCCATCAGTTTTTGATTCCAGCGGTGAAGTGGGGGAGATAACGGGATTGTACATGATCGATGAGGAAGGTGTGATTCAGTCTACGGATGTGAACGCGAGATTCATCAACGGGAAACCTGAAGGGATTGTGGCGAAGCACGTAATGCGAACACCGAAAGAATGGGACAGGTTCATGAGGTTCATGGAGCGGTACTCTGACCAGAACGGGTTGCAGTTCGTTAAGAAGTAATGAGGTGGGAGACTTTTCCAGTGAGCAAAACTGTGTATGTTACATTAATTTTTTTCACTCTTTTGATCTATATAATCTTTTACTCTACCTAGTTTTGATCTTTACTTGAGTTTCTATAACTTACAATTGGTATATATATGCACTATATATAGTTCGTTTAATTACTTAGGACTTTGATTAAATTTGATGTTAATATGGTCTCGTACATAAAGCTTGTTTGTGTTTTGTTCTATCCAAATTATGCCAGAACGTAATTTTTCAAGGTAAAGCTAAACCGGACTTGAGAGCATATCCGGTTTAATTTGATTACTATGTAATATAGGCAAGAATCGTTAGGAGTAGTTATGTCATGGAGAGAGACAAGATCAAAGCATCGTTCCTCAGATCATGGCATTGACGTTAATCTCATCCTTGGCTGTTCTGATGGCCTTAACGTTACAAAATCCGTCAATCTCCATGAAAATCTCTAGAACCGACGTCCTCGGCTGGATTTGCAACAACAGCACCGTCTCCGACCTCGAGGCTTACCAGAGATCGTATCAGCACAGCCTCGACGTGATCAGAGATAATATGAGGCATGTCAAATTCGGGATTCATCAACACGGAGATCCTCCTCAGAGGATCTACGTTTTGTCGCAGTGTGTTAGCGATCTCTCACCGGACGAATGCAGTCTCTGTTGGTCACGTGCCACCGATCTCCTCTTTCAATGTTTTCCAGCCACGGGTGGTTGGTTTCACTTGGACGGTTGTTTCGTTAGGGCTGATAATTACAGCTTCTATAGCGAGCCTGTTTCCCATCAGGACACCAAGGTAACTTAGATGGTTAGGTTATGTCAGAAATCTCATACTGAAAAAATGATGGGACGTAAAACGGTAAAAGTAATATAGACGTGACATGATTAATTTTTATCAATTGATATACATTGTCTAAGAACTGACCTAGGATTTAGAGAAAATCAACTAGAAAATCCTAATATGTCGACCATTTTGGGACTTTAGATATGTGGTAGTGACGAGGAGAAGTCTTCAGAATTCAAAGGTTTAGTGAAGGAAGTGACCAAAACCATTGTTGAGACGGCTCCATATAGTCAAGGGTTCTCGGTGGCTAAAATGGGCACTCAGGATTTAATGGTTTACGGATTGGGAATATGTTGGCGTACGCTAGACGATGAGTTGTGCAAATTTTGCTTAGCAGATAGAGCTTTATCAGTCTCTAGTTGCTTACCTTCCAAAGAAGGCTTTGCCTTGAATGCTGGGTGCTACTTGCGTTACTCTAACTATACTTTCTATAACGAACGTGGATTGCTTTCTATGAGTATGCCTCTGTCTCCTAACTCTTTATGATTCTTCAAATTGTGAATCAGTGGTTTCTTGATGCTATTGACATTGATTCTTGTAGATTTGACGAAAGAAAATATATTGCACATATTCGTTCTTTCTATGGTGGGTGTCTTGGCTATTGCAGCTGGATTTTGGTGTGGGAAATGCATCTATATGCGAGCTAGTCCAAAAAAGAAGGTTAAAGGTAACTTCCTTGTGTGGAACTAAATAAGACTTTATTGTGTCAAATTGTGGTTAGCTCACAGGATCTAAGACTAAAAAAGTTTCACTTGTTTGGACATCTAAGGATAGAGAAGGAGTCAGAGTCCATATGTAATGGCTCACACTTGATGAGCTTTGAGTATTCAAGTCTTAAAAAAGCAACCAACAACTTCAATGAGAGTTGCAAGCTTGGCGTTGGAGGATATGGTGAAGTCTTCAAGGTTTCTCTCTTCTCTATATAACTTATCCTTCTCTACATTTTACTATTTGAGCTGAGTATAAAGTCTATTTTGTTGTCTATTATGACAGGGAACTCTGTCTGACGGTAGAGAAATTGCGATTAAACGGCTGCATATAACAGGAAAGACGCCACGGGAAGAGATCCATAATGAAATAGATGTAATTAGTAGATGCCAACACAAGAACTTGGTCCGGCTCTTAGGTTGCTGCTTCACTAACATGAATAGTTTCATTGTCTATGAGTACCTCGCCAATACAAGCCTTGATCATGTCTTATTTAGTAAGATCCCTTTAACCGATCTTTATGTCTTCTTACTTGTCTGCAAAGTTTCTAAACTTTTTTTGCTTGACATGGAAGTAAAGACCCGGAGAAGAAGAAAGAGCTCGACTGGAAGAAGCGGCGTACAATAATCTTAGGAACAGCAGAAGGTTTAGAGTATCTTCACGAAACGTGCAAGATAATTCACAGAGATATTAAAGCTAGCAACATTTTGTTAGACTTGAAGTACAAACCCAAAATTTCAGACTTTGGATTAGCCAAGTTTTATCCAGAAGGTGGCAAAGACATCCCTTCTTCCACTCCTTCTCCTTATTCAATTGCTGGAACTCTGTGAGTCTTTTCAACACAAGAACTTATAAGAGGTCGTCCTTACTAATTAGAATCTGAAAATGGAACTTAATTCATGGTTGTTGAATTACAGAGGATACATGGCTCCTGAGTACATCAGCAAGGGAAGGCTAAGCAATAAAATCGATGCTTATAGCTTCGGAGTCCTTGTTCTCGAAATAACCAGCGGTTTTCGAAACAATAAATTCCGGTCAGATAACTCCCTTGAAACCTTAGTCACTCAAGTGAGTCTCCATCTTCATCATATCCACAGTCTTTTAACTCCTAATTAGCTCCTCCGAATATTACATTCATAACCCATTTTTCTAACCCCTTTATTAATTTCTTGAACAGGTTTGGAAATGTTTTGCTTCGGACAGGATGGAGGAGATGATAGACAAAGATATGGAAGAAGAGATAGACAGGAGAGAAGTGAGGAGAGTGATGCAGATCGGTTTATTGTGCACACAAGAGTCTCCACAGCTTCGTCCAAAGATGTCTAAGGTTATACAAATGGTTAGTTCCACGGATTTTGTATTGCCCACTCCTACTAAACCACCTTTCCTTCATGATTTCATGTAGAATTTATATCAATCCTCACTTTCTTACTGTTAAAAATAAAAACATTCCAAAGAAAACAAGAAACTACATAAAAAAAAAAATCATTTTATCGTTTGTAGATTAACTATGAAATTATGTTATTTTTCTTTCTAAACTATATGAAGATAGATAACATGTATATATCCCATTATTAATCATATGACCAACTATAAATTTAAGAGAACGCACATATAGTGTATTTGCTTATATATGATGATTAATCACAAAATATGTGATAAAAAAATAAATGAATAACTTAAGAATTTTTTGGTATCGTGTATATATAGATATATTCTAAATTAAAATTAGGATAAAACTTGTGCCTTGTGGTGTGGTTGAACTTTGAAGCATTCATTTTGTGGGTTGGACCAAGGTCAAGTCATCTATCTCACTACAATTTTGAGTCTAACTTATCATAATTAAGTTGTGTCCCTAGTATATATTTTTGAACGCATCATTGTATAATAAGTTAGTGCGTCGTGTTCTCTTATCATTGTTTATCTTTGCACTAATTTGTACCGTCCATTGTTTTATTTGTTTTTTTTTTTTTTTGAGAAGGGAAATTTTTTAAATTTGTTATTTGCAATTTAATTTATCAATTTAGTAATTCTTACTTCTTCTCCTCTTTTTTTTTCTTTAGTTCTTACTTCTTACTACATTGATGAAACTTAAACTCTCATTTTACAATAAATGAAAACGTTATTATTGTACATATATAGCTTCATATAGATGGGTGAACAGTTTACATCAACGGCGTCGGCGATCCACCTGTATAGACAGTATAGTAAACAGTAAAAAGAGAATAATAATGGATCGTGTAAAGTGATGATGAACAACAAGTGGGCGGTTGACGGTTGTAAACAAAACAACATTACTATCACTTTGTTTAAAGACACTGTTTTGTATTAATGTGTGACCCATACTCCCCAAATAATGTCGAGTAATAGGACTCATACTGACAAGATATGGTGGCTTAACACTGTAGCTAATATATATATATATATATATATATATAGGAGTATCTAAATAAATTACCATAAATGGGAAAGAAAAAAAAAAGGAAGAAGAAGAATAGTGCCAGTATCAGTATCAGTATCAGTATCAGTAGTATATCAAAAGAAAAAGGCGAGAATGTTACAAAACTCCAAAATAGATATGTATGTGTTAAATGTTATGTAAAACTGAATTTTGTGTGGAGGAGTCAATCATCTATGCAATAATATCTACAGGACAAAAAAAACAACAACAACAAAAGAGTATTACAAAAATTTCCAAAAATAGATGCAACTGTGCAAGCATGTAGTAAAATGCTTTTTTTCGACAATTCCCATTTTTTCTAACGGTATATTATTATTTGTTAATTTTATGATAAATTTCACAGCCTTTACAAATTTATTTACAATAGAGAGTGACATATAATATTTTATATAAACCCTCCAAGGAGAGCCTATTGGAGTCATGCAATTTACAAAGCTTTCTCTTAAGAAAAAAAAAAAACATACACACACATATTCTTACAAACAGCTGCCAGTACCTTTCGAGATGTAAGCATCTCCTCTAATCTCTACCTTTTTCTCTTTAAAGTATTATATCATCTTTTCATTTCTAATTCAATGTGTTATAAACATTTTTTATATACATGATCACTTCATAAAAAAACAACACATGCATTATAGGGATTTTGGCAACGTCAACTGCAACGGTAATGGTAACGGCATCGGCAATGGCATTGGCTTCGGCAACAGTAACGGCAATGGCGACGTTAATGGTAGTAACGAAAAGGTTAATGGAGCAAATGAGACGATAAAGATGAAACCAATGGACAGTGAGTTGCTGAGAGAGCAAGGTCACATAATGGTTGATTTTATTGCTGATTATTACAAGAACCTTCAAGACTCTCCTCAAGATTTCCCTGTTCTTTCCCAAGTTCAGGTTCCTTTTCTTTCTCCCTCAACTTTTTTCTACTACATGATGTCGTGTCTATAAATGTAACCACTCATTTTATTTTTCTTCTGTGCATATTTTGACCCTTATTTTGTTGTTTCACTATATATATATGCATGCTATTATTTTGGATGTATATGTATAAATTATTCAATACTCTTTTTTTGTTTAAAAAAAATAATAATTTTGTTGGTTAATTGACGCAGCCTGGTTATCTCCGTGACATGTTGCCTCATTCAGCACCTGACCAACCAGATTCGTTGAAAAAACTTCTCGACGGTACGTAAATCATAATTAATTAGCATGCACTTACAATACAAACGTAATACATAATAATATTAAATGGGATTTTATTTGTTAATTGTTGTCATGATTCTAATTCATATATAGACGTTACGAAAAAGATAATGCCGGGGTTAACTCATTGGCAAAGCCCGAGTTACTTTGCGTACTATGCATCAAGCACGAGTGTGGCCGGATTCTTGGGAGAGATGCTCAGCGCCGGCCTGAGCGTCGTGGGTTTCACCTGGCAGACTTCTCCGGCCGCTACTGAGCTCGAAATCATTGTTCTTGATTGGCTTGCTCAATTACTACAACTCCCCGACCATTTTCTCTCCACAGGTGCGTCACTAATCTGATCTCAATTCTTCTAAAAACTGAAGAGTCGAGTTTTATGGATCCGAAAGAGAAATAAAACTTAATGGAGTTCAAAAATATTAGGTCATTTGATTCAATTTTTCTAATTAATCTTACTATTTTGAGTAAGTGAACAAGTAGTTGATTAATATAAACTTTTCTTTACACTGTTATATATTAATTAATAATTTTTGTTTTTAATGCAAATGGTTGAAAAAAAGGAAATGGCGGAGGAGTGATCCAAGGGACAGCTTGTGAAGCAGTGCTTGTGGTAGTATTAGCTGCTAGAGACAGAATTTTGAAGCAAGTTGGCAAAACATCACTTCCGCGACTTGTTGTCTATGCCTCTGACCAAACCCATTCTAGTTTCCGAAAGGCTTGTCTGGTTGGTATATCCTTTTTTGGTTTTACGTTTTCCAAAAAATATCAATATTTATAACTCCGTGATGATGATGAATGATGATGATACTTTTAATTAATTAATTTCTAGATTGGTGGAATACATGAAGAAAACATTAGGGTGCTCAAAACTGATTCGTCCACCAACTATGGCTTGCCACCAGAATCACTTGAAGAAGCTATTTCTCATGATCTCGCTAAGGGTTTTATCCCTTCCTTCGTTTGTGCTACTGTAATTACTTTAAATTTTTATATACTATATTAAATAATTGAGAATTTCTTTTTTTTCTTTAATCTGTACGAATAAAGTATTAGAATTGTGTACCGCTTTATAATCATTTCGTCTTTATTGCTAAATGTACAAGTGTGGTGGTGCGTTTTCAGGTTGGCACAACGTCGTCAGCCGCGGTTGATCCTTTGGTCCCATTGGGGAAAATTGCAAAGGTATATATAATAAAAAATCAACTAAAATTTGTGGACTGTATCAACCAAATTTCTAACCAACTTCATCCACCGCAATGATAACACACTATACTCAGTGCTTCAACAAATGCAATTATTAATTAAACATCTGAATTTTGAATAAATAAATCTAATTAGTAAAAAGTAATATTGGATGCCTGAAAAATAAGACTATACTATATTAATGAAAACAAAAACTGTGTGTACGTATGGTGTTTAGAAAAATGGGATATGGATGCATGTGGATGCAGCATATGCAGGGAATGCGTGTATATGTCCAGAGTATCGAAAGTATATAGACGGGGTTGAAAACGCAGACTCCTTTAACATGAATGCTCATAAATGGTTATTTGCTAATCAAACTTGTTCACCCCTTTGGGTTAAGGTATTTTTTTACCTCTCTCTTTTTTTCTACTTAACCTATACTAAGTTATATATGTTATTACACTATTATTACTAATTAATGACTATATATGTATAATTTTCCTCTCTCTTTTTTTTTTTGTATATTGGAATCAAACAGGATCGATACGCTCTTATTGATGCTCTCAAAACAAATCCTGAGTATCTAGATTATAAGGTCAATATCTCTCATTATAATCATCATTTCTTTTCAAACCCAACCATCTTCGTATAATGAAGATCTAAGTAAGCGTTATCATATAAACGTAACGTGTATTTTTGAAGACGGTGATGAAAAATGTTGTATGAGATGATGATAATTATATTTCAATGGCACATATATATATATATCACAGGTTTCTAAACGAGATGAAGTCGTGAATTATAAAGATTGGCAAATATCTCTCTCTCGGAGATTCAGGTTCTGATCCATATTTACAGTTGATGTTATATTCGTTGGTCATATATACAACACTAGACACGATTTTTTAAATTTGTACAGATCGTTGAAGTTATGGATGGTTTTACGGCTCTATGGTTCTGAGAACTTGAGAAACTTTATAAGAGAACATGTCGATCTCGCTAAGCAATTCGAAGCTTATGTATCTCAAGATCCACGTTTTGAGGTTATCATTACATCATCAAAATAGTTTCAAAACATCTTTAATTATATGATAATCCCTTCAACATCTACAACCACGTTCAACTATACTATATATAAGAAATGGATAAATAATTTAAACTTCTTAATTATAACTTTAAATAGGTTGTTACTAGTCGGTACTTTTCACTCGTTTGCTTTCGTCTTGTGCCTCTTGACGCCGATGAAGACAAGTGTAACCAACGCAACCGTGAACTTCTTGCCGCCGTTAACTCCACCGGCAAGATCTTCATCTCTCATACAGTGAGTTTTTTTGTTTCCTAATTTTTGTAACTTTTATTATTTTACAAGAAATTGAATGAAACGTAAAAAATAAATATAACTAAATATCATCAACAGGCTCTATCGGGAAAATTCATATTACGATTTGCCGTTGGTGCACCGTTAACGGAGGAGAAGCATGTCACTGAAGCATGGCAGATTATACAAAAACATGCCTCTAAATTTACATGCAATGGCAATTGTTAAAAAGATACCCATAAATCTCTTTTTTTTCTTTTCTGTTTCATTCAATAAATTCCTCTTCTACTTAGATTTTGGAATAAAAAAAATTATTACGAAAAAAATCGGTTGGTACAAATATTATTGATTGATTGTTTTCGAGTTAAAAATTGAGAGTGTTACACGAGACTTCATCCGGATATGTTGACAAGTACAAATTCTTGGCATTGGGGCATATGGGATTAGTTTATTGGACTTGGGCCTGGCCTTATTATTATATTAGTTTACATTCTTCCTCAACAGATGCTTTTAATTATTATTATTATTGCTATCATTCAAAAACCCTAATCTAATTTGTTTTCTATCTTCGGCTGTGTCAATGATTCTCAATCAAGCAAAGTATCCGGGAAATGAATCCTTTATTAGTTGATGTATTTTCTCACACGGGACATGCGTTTTTCTTCTTCTTCTTTTGAATTTAGTTTATTTCGAAGAGAAAAAAAATCGCTTTGTTTTTGAGTCCGATGAATCATATAGTTATAGATGTTAGTTCGGGGGAAGAGGATTATAACTCTGATTTGTTTGGCGGAATTCTGAAAGTTTCTGATGAGAAGAGTAAAAGTGCTGATTTGTTTAATCCAATGGTCAAGGATGAAGACGATGACGACGATTGTGTGATTTTGGATTGTGATCCTACAGCCAAGGAGGAGACTGTCATTGACACCTGTGGAACCGATGAAGTCCTTGTTCTAGGACAAAAGGGTGAGGTACTAAGTTTTCAATTTTTTTTTTTTAACGAGTTTACTCAATTTTGGACACTGTACTCTCTAATTTTGAATTGATTAGTGTCACGAGTAGACGAACTTTAAGTTGGGAACTTTTGTAGGAATCTGTGTTCTTTTATAAAAAGTAGATATAGAAACTTGAGTTTGATATGTGCTGACCTGATGAGTATTGGATTCTTCAATATTCATTGTGGACTATTTATCCTAAGTGTATATATAGTTTAAAATCATTAAACTGGGTTTGCTCTGTTTCATTCTTTATACAGCTTGTAGTAACATCTCTAATAAGGAAGTTGTTTTGGTTTTGTAGATAGCTTGTAGGGATTTCCCGCATCCACGACATGCCTGCGCTAAGTACCCGTTCAAATCCACATTACACCAGCAGTTCTGTGAGATGGTGAGGATGATGTGAAGTTTTATCTTTCTTTCATTTTTCTTTGTATCTTTTGATAAAGCGATGATGCTTTCCTTGCTAATTCGTCTTCTTGGTTTTGCTCTCTTTTCTTACAGTGTCACTGTTATGTTTGTGACACCCGTGCTCCGTGTCCTTACTGGTTTCGTGGTCTCTCCCTCCTTGAGCACTGTCATGCCAATGATAAAGACAAGACGTGGAAGAATCAACGACAACGTATCAGGACATTAAATATGCTTCCCCGTCCTGTTTCAAAACATGCTTCCAACATTGTACAACTTAAACGGGTTTCAAGGCCTCAATCTGTACCGTTTCCCCAAAACTCGTCTGCCCCTGTAACTCAGTTTGGAATCCAGGCTTGCTCCACTGCTACTAGTGTTGCGACTCATCCAAACACATACTCCAGACCCGATCATAGAACCGTGCAATTCGAAACATTTCCGAATAATCCTGTGTCACAGCCTCATGCTGTGCAATCATTACCAAATAATAGAAGCGGTTCTTATAATGGTGTCCAGTCATTACCAAATAACAGAAGCGGTTCTTATAATGGTGTGCAGTCATTACCGAACCAGAGAGGCTGCTCTTATAATGGTAATCCAAGTACCCAAACTGTTCCTTCCAATCCATACGTATGGACTCGAACACCAAGTAGCGGCGCTTCTCATCTAGAAAACGGTGTACAGAACATTGCTCAAGGCTCACAAGCGACCTGTTACACTCCTCCCAGTGCTTCACAAGGCAATTCACAGCGTATCATTACTGGTTCTGGCTATATGTCAACTATGCGAGGTCCTCGCACTAAAGAGTCTGCTAGAAAAACTAACCAGACCATGTATTCTGGTGGTCCTCGCACTAAAGAGTCTGTTAGAAAAACTACCCACCACGTTTATTCCGGTAATCTTCAGACAAATGAAGTCCCGTCAATCACTCCAAGTGCTTCACAAGGCAATGCACAGCGTATCGTTGCTGGTTATATTTCAAATGTGCGAGGTCCTCGCACTAAAGAGTCTGCTAGAAAATCTACCCACCACATGAATTATGGTAATCTTCAGACAAATAAAGTTCCGTCAATGACTCCTAATCCTCCGGCGAACCAGCACCAACAACAACCTCAATCAGGAAGCTATAAAGATAGAGTACTGTCAGAGTTTGAAGAATGGCTCTTGGACGACTCATCATCGTTGTATCCTTTGTCTGGTCAAGACAATGCTACTACAGACCCATTCGATTTCGAATCCTTCTTGAATGAATGAGAGACCACAGGATAGTCTAGATTTCCTAACTTAATTATAGACTTAGCTGCACAGAGTTTTAGTCACGAGTTTCTAATTAGAATCCCATCTAATGAATTCATCAGTTCTTTTAGAATGGATCATATCCGTCGTTTTAAATTAATTATTTTTTATCCATGTTAAATAGTTTTTTAAAATTCTAATTTCACCTCATCAAACCAAATTAACTATATTGTATTTATTCACCCAATCAGAAGTAATTCTTACTTTTATAATAGTAAAAGAATTTATAAAAATATAGTTACCACACATTTTTTTTGTTTTGGCTTGGCAACTATAGTCCACACATTACGAAACGTATGTTTGGAAAACTTTTAAAAAGAACCGTAATTTAATTAGAATTACGAAAATTTTGGTTGGTAAAGCTGAGAGGAAAAGTCAAAGCCAAGTACCTACGATAGTGGAAACAAACTGTTACAGAATCCTAAATTTATAGTAGTAAATGAATTACTTCTTTTTTGTTTTTATTCATGAAAATAAAAATAGAATCTGAAAGATTCAAAAGATTCAACAGAATCTCGAGAATCTCTCTACCTTCTTCCTCTATAAACTCTGATATCTCTCTCTCTCTCTCTCTCTCTCTCTCTCTCTGTATTTCTTCATTTCTAAAAGCATCCTCTCTTTTATTACCGTGCAACAATGGCGTCGAGTCTCTCTTGTTCGGCATCTGATTTGATCCCTTTACTATCCGGTGGAGCCAACGCCACCGCAGCAGCCGCCGCTGCCGAATACATATGCGGGAGATTCGATACAGTCGCCGGGAAATTCACAGACGCGGCTTACGCGATCGACAACACTTACCTCCTATTCTCCGCGTACCTCGTATTCTCGATGCAGCTCGGGTTCGCCATGCTCTGTGCTGGATCTGTCCGCGCTAAAAACACGATGAACATTATGCTCACAAACGTCATCGACGCTGCAGCCGGTGGTCTCTTCTATTACCTCTTCGGTTTCGCTTTCGCCTTTGGTGCGCCGTCTAACGGATTCATCGGAAAACATTTCTTCGGGATGAACGATTTCCCAAAACCTTCTTTTGATTATCCTTATTTTCTATATCAATGGACGTTCGCCATCGCTGCTGCTGGGATCACGAGCGGATCCATCGCCGAGAGGACTCAGTTCGTTGCGTATTTGATCTATTCGTCGTTCCTTACGGGTCTTGTTTACCCTATTGTCTCGCATTGGTTCTGGTCTTCCGATGGTTGGGCTTCTCCGGCTAGATCTCACGACCTTCTGTTTCAATCAGGTGTGATTGATTTCGCTGGATCTGGTGTTGTTCATATGGTTGGAGGTATTGCTGGTTTGTGGGGAGCTTTAATCGAAGGACCAAGGATTGGCCGGTTTGGTCAATCGTCTAAACCGGTTGCGTTGCGTGGTCATAGCGCCACGTTGGTTGTTTTAGGAACGTTCCTGCTTTGGTTTGGATGGTACGGGTTCAACCCTGGCTCGTTCGCTACTATTTTTAAATCTTATGGAACAACTCCGGGGGACTCGTTTTACGGACAATGGAGCGCTGTTGGTAGAACTGCCGTGACGACTACGTTAGCTGGTTGCACCGCGGCGTTAACGACTCTGTTTGGGAAAAGACTCATAGATGGGTATTGGAACGTGACCGATGTTTGTAACGGGTTGTTAGGCGGGTTTGCGGCGATTACTAGCGGGTGTTCGGTTGTGGAACCGTGGGCTGCGCTTATATGCGGGTTCGTAGCCGCGTGGGTGCTAATGGGGTTTAATAAACTAGCTGAAAAGCTTGAGTTCGACGATCCGTTGGAAGCGGCTCAGCTTCACGGTGGTTGTGGTGCGTGGGGGATTATTTTCACGGGATTATTCGCGGATAAAAGATACGTTGCTGAGATCTTTGGAGGCGACCCGAACAGGCCTTACGGGTTGTTGATGGGAGGAGGAGGTAGGTTGCTTGCGGCGCACGTTGTTCAGATTTTGGTGATTACGGGTTGGGTTAGTTTGACAATGGGAACTCTGTTTTATATCCTGCATAAACTGAAACTGTTGAGGATACCGTCGGAGGATGAGATCGCTGGGGTGGATCCGACGAGTCATGGAGGGTTGGCTTATATGTACACAGAAGATGAGATCAAGAATGGAATCATGGTTAAGAGGACGGGTGGTGATAATGATGATCAAGGACAATTAGGTGTTTGATTCTTTTGGTTTAGTAAATGTTTATTTGTTTAGCTTTGTGTTTTCTTACTTCTTTTTCTTCTTCTTGTTATCTGTATATATTCATTCTACATTTTTAATGTTGCTCTTTTGCATGGGAATAAAAGTTATATTAGTTTTGCTGTTTACCTCTCATTGCTGTGTCAATTTTGAATTGTTCTTTAAAGTAAATTATTGGGCCTCTAAAATAGATATCAGGGGCCGAGGTTCTTACGCCCAGGACTGATTATAGTTGCATGTAGGCCTACCGAGTTCATATGTTCGTTAGGAAGTATTTTTGCTTAGTGATAGATAGGCTAGTTTATATTGTTGATGTAGTATGTTTATACCGTAGATAATATATATTTATATTGAAAAACAAAAATAGAGGAAATTTTAGTGAATGATGATGATGTTGTATGGGATGAACAAAAGTATATCATACTTGTTATTAAAACTATAATAGAAATTTAAAGCTATAATGTTGTAGTTGAATGTGATTAAAAAAAAAATGTTGAAATTTTCGAATATGAGAAAATTTATAAGACACGTCCGAATGAGACACACAAGTACAAAGGACATCATGATTTCATCATCGCATGCAAAAAAAGACGACAATCAAATAAAAGCAAAGTTAAAAACAAACAACACACACACGAGAATTTGGAAGAGATCGATGTATCAAATAAAACGTAGAGAAATGGAAAGACAAATTGTGTGCTGCCTCTATCTATATTTTGCTCGAACATATAGAAAATTTATTATAAAACTCAAACCAATCTTCCTAAAATCTTCAGTAATATTGAGTAGCGTTGTGACTAGTAATAAATCTTACATTCAGCCATACTAAAAAGCTTCAGGATTCTAGACATGCATGCATTTCTATATATTTGTAACTCCAAATTTAGATTTATTTAGGGTTTTATTGATCTACGCCTACAAAGTTTGTGCTTGAGATGAAAGATTAGGTATGATGTCGGTATCAAAAATAACATTAGGGAGCTATATTTTTGCAAAGGCATATCAAAGGAAAAGACAAAAGAAATCAAAAGTGGGCTACAATTCGACTTTGAGTATTAATGTCGGTATCTTCGAGAACCATTGATTCCCTTATCTAAGTCAGATACTGCACTAATTCACAGCCACTTAAGTTATGCCACGTGATGGTCAAACTGGATTTTTCAGTCAAACCTTTGACCCAGTGGATCCAAGATATTACACATGCATGTTTACTTAAACTATGTGAAAATAGGTAATTTTATTACCATATCTGTAAGGTTAGAATTAGATGCTCTTTTTTCTCTCTTTAACTCTTTTTGGTGTTAGTATCAGTCAACTAAAAATAACATTTATTAAACTATGGCAAGGATATAAAACTTTTTATTGTCTATATATATTCATTAAGTCATAGATTTGGGTCATACAAAAAGCAAAATACAGTATATAAGTTTATAAGTCTGATCCTATTATCAGCGAATAACATCACCATCACATCCATTATTGGGGTAATCTCTGATTCTGTGTCTCTTCTTTTTTTCAAGTCAATAGAGATTTTTTCTCTTTCTTATTACTGCATCGATCCAACTCTTGACTGAATAAATGCATCAAAGAATGGCTTTAACTATTATTACACACTCTCATACTTATCTCTTCTTTTACGTTTTCTCATTTATTTCCTCTCTTTTGCAAAAACTAAAAAAAAAAAAAAGTTTGATTAATAGGATAGGAGGCCATGACAGATCAAAATCCAAGAATCATCGTGGAGACGAAGCCATCTCAAGCTCGTCTTGACGAACTAAAGTTCAAGTCATGGCCCAAGTAAGCAATCGATATGATTCTCCTTGTTTCAATTACTTTCTTCTTTTATAGTATGGTGTTGGAGATAGGATTATAAAATTTTGTCACTTGTGGTATCAAATTGGGAATTTTATTTTCATGAAGGTGGGGTTGTTCACCGGGGAAATACCATTTGATATATGAAGCAGAAGAGATTTGTTACATTCTGAGGGGTAAAGTTAAGGTTTACCCTAAACAACCATCGTCATCAGATGCAGAAGTTGAATGGTGTGTGGAGTTTGGAGCAGGTGATATCGTCACTTTTCCAAAAGGGCTATCGTGTACTTGGGATGTTTCTCACGCTGTTGACAAACACTACATTTTTCTCCACCATTCTTAATTCTTCTTAGCTGTTTTTTTCTTTCTCTTTTCTTTTGTGATTCTTTTTTATTTATTTTGTATTTCTTACATTTTGTGATTCGTAGTTGTTGTATTCTGTGTTCTTTTTGTCGTTTGTTTCTAAGAAGAAATATACATATGTGTGTGCATTAACAATGGCATAGTTTAAAACAATGTTTTCAAAATCCCAAGCTTGAGTAACCCTCATAAATTAAATTCGAATGATCTTGAGATGATTGCTCAGGATCATATCAAAAGACGGTGCATATATAAAACCCTAGTTTCTTCTTCCAATATGTATTAGTATATGAAACCGTAAAACGTTGGATTCTGTCTTAGTCAACAAGAGGGTGATCTTCTTTTTATTAATTTTGTCCCTTTATATGCTTCTACAATGGTAATAAATTTCATTCTTTAAGACCCATTGACCAGTCAACTTTTTATATTGTTTAGCTTTATTTAGGCAAAGCGCCATCTCATAATTTAACATTGAATGATCTCAAACAAACTTGATGGTACGTGTCTTTAGAGTAAAAACTATACGTAACGTATGTCATCCCCAATTAATCAAAAATACCCTAATCATATTCCCATTATCGAAGGCTTAGACTGGTTTTAATCATAATCAAAATCGATTGTGATTTGTGAAGTAGTAAGTGGTACTGTAGGAGAAAGAAACATACGTTTTGAACTTACTTAGGTTAACGTAAAAGTAGACTAGTAGAGTAGTAGTGATGATAACAAAATTTCACCTTTCAACCTGGGGTAGTGTGTGTATCGCTATTTTGTCTTAAGTTTGTACTCTAAAAGTTCAAATCAACATGACATATCGATCGTTGGATAATTTCTCCATCATTAATACTAGCTAGCTTTTACGACTTTATAACAACATAGTAGTAATGTTTTGCGCCATCCATTCACACGTTCCAATGTTAATGTAGGTGCGGTAATCATAGTGTATTAGTTTATCAAAACTAATTCTGGTTAGCATTAAACGTGTTGCTTTGTAGTTTTTAAAAAGGTTCATCGTCGTAGCAATAATAGTATCAACGTGATCACCGTATGTTACTACCATTAGCTCCATTTATTACCATAACAAAACCAACATGTCACATAACATCATCAAAAGAGATACTGTACTCCTTAAATTTTAACACTTGGATTTGAGTTAAAAGTTTTAGTTAAATTAATGCTTACCTAATAGGGAAACAAATTGATTTTTGGCAAACCTTCTAAGTGAGCGAAAGGGTTTTGGTTCAACCGATTGAACCGGCCGGCCGAACCCGAATTTTAGAATAAACCATCTGGATATTAGCACCTGCCACCTAACACACTCTCTCTACGCACACATGGCACCTCACTCCATCTCTCTGTGTTTCTCAGCACCTCACCTCTGCTTCACTCATCTCCCACCACCTCTTCCTCTCTTCTCCTCCTCCGTCATCTCTCTTCCGGTCTTCCGTCACTTCAGGAGGTTGCTTATTTCTCAGTTTACGAGCATCAATTGTGTATTCATTCTCTCTTTTACTTCTCCTTCTGATTGATTGATTCTCTCTTCCTGTATGATTCAGTTTCAGGCCTATTAGAATGGCTTCTTCGTCTCCCTCCATCGATTCTGTTCCTTCTCCGCCGGATAATGCTATCGTCGTGAGTTTTTAATCCATCAACTCTCGTGTTTGGGGTTTTGACTTGAATCGCGCTTATAGGAGAATGAATGCTCATATTCGTGTGGTTTTGGCAGCTTGGTTGTGGTGGCATCGCTGTGGATTTCTTAGCGACGGTTGATTCTTATCCTCAACCTGACGATAAGATCCGAAGCACTAGCCTGAAGGTAAGTGTTCCCTCTCTCTCTCTCTCTTAAGTCTCACCCAATAGCCTGCTGTTTTGGAAGTGATTTAGGGTTTAGGATTTGATACTTTGGTCAGGTGCAAGGAGGGGGAAATGCTGCAAACGCATTAACCTGTGCAGCTCGTTTGGGTTTGAATTCGAGACTGATTAGTAAGGTCATTGATTTTGATTAGCATAAACAGATTTAACAAATCTGAGTAGGGGCATTAGTGTAGCGATGCTAATTGATTAGTAATGGAAAATATCTTTAGGTAGCGAATGACTCTCAAGGAAAAGGTATGCTGGAAGAGCTGGAAGCTGATGGTGTGGATACTTCTTTTCTTGTGGTAATGCTCAATCTTTTGATCATGTGTATTCTTTTGCTCTTTTAAGTTTTGCAATTTTGTTTTCAGTTTCCTAATCTTTCCAGTATTTGATAATCTTGTGGCAGGTCTCTAAAGAGGGCAATTCACCATTTACCTATATCATAGTTGACAAACAAACGTGAGCGTTTTTTCTCTGATGTTGGTTTGTGAATTTGGGGACCTGTTTCCTTATGAAATTAGCTAGATTATGCTATATGTATGACTTGGAATTTATTTGTCTGCATACATCATCAGATCTTCAATGGTTATGTTTTTCAGGAAAACCCGCACTTGTATTCACACGCCAGGAGACCCACCCATGTTACCAACTGACCTTTCTCAGTCTAGTATGTTATCAGCCCTAGACAGAGCAAGCATTGTATACTTTGATGTAAGATTACATGAAACGGCCTTGGTGATTGCAAAAGAGGTAAGCATGCATTTTATGGGTTTTTAGCCTTCAAGTTTCTTGATTTCCCCAAGCACACCAAAACAAGGGTTTATTAGTCATGCAAATAGTAAATTGAATTGCATGTCCTAATGTCCTGTATGTAAGATTAGTCTTTATTAAGTTCATTATATTTGAGGATTTCACACGACTCTATTTAGACTCTCTTTTTTGCTTGTCTACAAAAACATAATATGCCACACAGCCTGCATGTTCATCTCCTCCTGTACTTGTTGCTTTTATCCAGAGCAGGCAGGTCGCAAGAAGATACCTATTCTAGTTGATGCAGAGAAGAAAAGAGATGGATTAGATGAACTCTTGCAATTCGCAGATTATCTTGTCTGCTCAGCAAAGTTTCCTCAGGCAAGTTAGTCTCATTTTTCTCATTGTTTTCGGGCCTCTTTTCTCAGCATTAAGGCCGAAAGTCATAGTCTCTCCCATATTGCAGGTATGGACAGAGGCGTCTTCAACTCCTGGTGCACTCATTTCAATGTTGTTGAGATTGCCAAAACTGAAATTTGTGATCGTGACCTTAGGTGAAGAAGGATGCTTAATGCTTGAAAGAGCTTCAAAAGGTACATTATTTCAGACTTCATGTCACTCACTAGACATCAAAACTTCTTGCATGATCCTTTTCCCTAGTCATGAACATCCTTTGGCTTTGCCGAGTTCAGCAGAAATATTACAATCTCAAGAGACAGATATCGAGAGCTTGTTGGAGACACTAAAGCATAGAAAAGACTCAACCGCAACATATCCAACATGCGTTTCATCGGTAACTAAACATTATAACTCTTTAAGAACTTCTCACCCATATGAAGACAATCTAACCATCCACTCATTCATATATCATGCAGGAGACAACAGAGTTGAAGGCCGACGGGATAGGAACAATGAGTGGAAGATTGTTTCTCGGAACAGCAGAGAAAATTCCTCCAGAAGAGCTTCTTGACACCACCGGTGCTGGTGATGCATTCATAGGAGCGGTTCTATATGGTAAGAAATTTCAAAAGATTTTTGTACACTCCCTGAGAAAGCAGAACTCCAAACACAAAACTGACCGATCTCTACTTGTTTCCTTGATTCGTAGCCATATGCGCCGGCATGCCCCCAGAGAAAATGTTACCATTCGCTGCTCAAGTGGTAACTCTTCATAACTGAACCTCTCTGTTTTGTTTAAAACAATCCATAAGAAACTTCAGCATTACATTAGATAATGTGAATCTTGGATTGCTTTCGGATAACCGAGCTTTCTAATCCTAAGGCAAAACCCAGACTAAACTTGAAGTTTTGAGCCGCCATGTGAATTACCTGGTTGCCATTAGTTTGAGACTCGTATAAATGGCCACTGATGTTTTCTAGCTTCATTGAACCATCACCGTCAGTCTCAAACCCGTTCTTTTCCAAATGGAACACACCTAACATTTCACCCCCAATCTTCGTAACGATTGTTTTGTATTTGCAGGCGGGTTGCAGCTGCCGAGCTTTGGGAGCTCGCACCGGTCTTCCTCGCCGTACAGACACTAGACTTGTACCTTATCTGGTTTGACACTCTGTGTTCCTTTGTCAACTTCTGAGTTCGGAGTCAATTTACTCCATTGCACACTTTCAATATTCTAAATGTTCCAAGTATTGGATGAAATAAAAGACTTGGTGTCAAATAATATTCTGGTTAGGTTTGACTTTTTTTCTTTTTGGGGTCTAATTATTAAACAAAACATAGATGAAAGTGGTGTTATTCTAATCTAAATGCTGGCGATGTGACCGCTTCAACCTTAATCGCGTCCGTAAAAGCGTTTATTTATCAACGGCTAGGATTGCACCGAGCGCTACATCCCCGTAGACTGCTCCAAGTCAAAGGTGGGTAGCCATTAGCCAAGCCCACGCGCCATTTTCTAAGTATGTCGTCACCACTTTCTAAGTATGTCGTCACTTGCTGATGACCCGATGTCTTATAATGACAAAATCATAGACATAATTGCTGAGTCCACGCGCCTTTCTCATTGGCCACTTATGCGGAGCTTATTGCTGTGTCTATCTATCACGAGGTTGGAGTGACGGCGAGATGATCGGCCCGTGTGAACTGGCACAAGCTGACCAATATGAGTCATATACTATAATTTTAGGTTTTGGTTTTGGAAGTTGTTTGAGTGAACACAAAAAATAATTATCAAGACTGAGTTATTTCTTCAAAGGTCCTTGCCATGTTGACAAGTGACAACTCTACTCTACCAAGTAACCACTTCTTCGTATCCATGCATCCCCTCGAAGTAAATGATACTAAGCAGTCTTGCACGCAACTTTTGTTTTTCTTCTTTATATCTCCAATTTATCAACAATCCACGCAAAGTTTGATATTAGCTAGGAAGAATATATATATGTCTGTATATCATGGAAGATTGATCTGGTCAGCAAGTTGTATAATTTTTGTTTCTTGTAACCAAGATTATTACATCGTGTTTTGTTTATGGGGTCAACAAGATTAAAGATTACATTGTTGTTTACTATCACTTGTTGATATTAGTATAATTTGTTCGATGCTGCTTAATCCAACACTTTCCCCGTTACAAGATCAACATGTCAATTGATAACGATCTAGTGGTTGAAAAATTGATTATGAGAAACTGTTTTTCATTACAATTTCAGTCATGGTTAGCCATGGTAGACGTCTTTAATGGTAAAAATATCTTTAACAAGGAGAATATATGTGTATACTAGTATCTTGGAAATTAGTCCTAGATTAAAGAAAATGAACTTTTAATTAACGAAATGGTAAATAATTTAATAGATTGAGAGTCATTAAAGGGAACCTTATGAATTAAATGGTAAATTAACGCTTACTTACCTTAATTACTCGGAAAAGACTTTTACCTTTATAAGCTAGTAAAAAGCTCGACGACTTATGACTAATGACTAAAATGCTCTGAGAAATCGGAAAAGAAAGAAAAAAAAACAACAACAACGACGAAAGCGTCTCTACACAAAAGAGGTGTTTGTTTAGGATTTCTTCTTCTCGAGCCAATTTGAATATTTGTTTAATGTTTTGTTTGCTTGAAGGTTTCTAAGTTTCTGAGACTTCCATTGGATTCAATCGCATTTCTTATTTTAATGGTGATGTATACTCTTGAATGATATATCTCTGGGTTTTGGAGTTACAGAGTTCGTCTGCTCCTTGCCTTTATTTACATAAAGACATTTGTCTCCGTTATAGCTTGTGGACGATCATCGGAGCAACCTCATGCTTTTAGATCCAACAGCAAGCTAAATAGTTTCTGATCGGTTTCTTCTCCCGTTGCTAAATGGTATTGTAATTTTTCTTTTTTGGGTTTTATTTTCCGTTCACATTCTATTATGGAGTTTTAAAAATTTCGGAGTGTCTTTGATTCTATGTCGATTTGTTTCTTCGTATCGTTTTGAATTTGTTTTATCTGTTTTCTTAAGTAGCTGACTGATCCGTGGTTGGACTTTGATTTAAGTTGAATGATCTATTTCTTCGAATTGGATTATTTGAACTCCCGAATTGGTTTCATGCACTGATTGATCTTTGTGGGATTTAGAATGTTTAGGTGAAATCCGAGAAATCGGGGGTGGTAACGACTTTTCATTGATTCATCATTGACCATGATTTTCATGTGTCAGGACTGATTTACTAGAATTTTTTTAGCTGAACCTCACGTTTCAGTTTTGGAATATAATCATCTTGGTTTCATCTGAATCTTTTGCTTTGGTGTTTCAAGGTTATGAGTATCGGAATTGTTGGTTTTTACAGGCTTGTACTACAGTTAATGTTGGCTCTTCCGTCTGGGTGGAAGATCCAGAGGCGGCATGGATTGACGGTGAAGTTGTCGAGGTTAAAGGAAATGATATTAAGGTCCTATGTACCTCAGGGAAGACGGTATGTTTCACCTGTTTGATTTATTAAACTGGCATCAACATCTGAAGTTTCGATTTTTCATTGTCCGAATATCGATACGAGGATTAAGTTTTAAGCGACTTTGCTACATTACTGGGATTTTTCAGGTGGCTGTTAAAGTTTCAAATGCATACCCAAAAGATATTGAAGCTCCAGCTTCTGGAGTGGATGATATGACAAGGCTAGCATATTTACATGAACCAGGAGTCCTCCAAAATATGAAATCAAGATTTGATATCAACGAAATATATGTGAGTATTCTATTGAAGATTTGAAGGTCAATATTTGCTTTCACTTTGTTAGGAATTTCCTTTAATATATATCTATTCTTCCAGACTTACACAGGGAATATCCTGATTGCTGTAAACCCTTTTAGAAGACTACCGCATCTTTACAACAACCATATGATGCAACAATATAAAGGTGCAGGCTTTGGAGAATTGAGCCCTCACCCGTTTGCAGTTGCTGATGCAGCTTACAGGTGCTTGCCATGTTATTTTAGAGTTTTTTTTGGGTCTCCCTTTGGTACATGTTTGCTCTCTCCTGTTTGACATTCTTTGGCTTGTTTACATTGGGGGTAGACAAATGAAAAATCAGGGCATAAGTCAATCAATCTTGGTAAGTGGTGAAAGTGGAGCGGGGAAAACTGAGACTACTAAATTGCTCATGCAATATCTGGCAGACATGGGAGGTCGAGCTGTTTCCGAAGGAAGGACTGTTGAAAAGAAAGTTTTGGAGGTTATCCATGGCATATCCTTTAGTATATACCTTCTGGATTGTTTTCGTGAAGTAGATTTGAAAATCATTCTGAGATATGTTGATGCTTTTTTTTTATGCAGTCTAACCCTGTTCTAGAAGCATTTGGAAATGCAAAGACTGTCAGGAATAACAATTCCAGGTTTATATAGTATAAAATATACCTATACATATGCATGTGTGTGTGCTTATATACTTTTTTCTTTTTCTTTTGTGTTGAATATCCTTAAATACCTATTGATTCATGTTTATAATCATTATATGTTGCAGTCGATTTGGTAAATTTGTGGAGATCCAATTCGATCAAAGGGGAAGAATATCAGGAGCTGCAATCAGGACTTATCTGTTAGAGAGATCGCGGGTTTGTCAAGTCTCAGATCCTGAGAGGAACTATCACTGTTTTTACATGCTCTGTGCTGCACCACCTGAGGTACATATGGGTTGTCTCTCTTTATAAAGTTCTTCCCAACTATGTCTTCTCATTGGGAACGTCAGAATCTGATTTGGTATTGAATATAGCTATGGATCAGAATTTGCTCTGTACTCCCAATTATGTTAATATCCATAGTAAATAACTCAATTGCTTGGATTTGTTGGTGGACGTTTATTAAAAGTCTGTTAGAAGCATCATTGGAATTGTGCATATGAGATATTTACTGAAATGATTCTTGTGTATCACTGAATGATATGAGATACAGAGAAGGGTTAGCTAGAGTGATTACAGAGGAAATTAAGACAGTAAATAACAGATCAATTACAGGGATTTGATATGTCTTAGGAAATCAGATAATAAGCTTTCCTTAACACTCTACAGTGCAGTCTTCCATGAAGGACGTGTCATCAAAATTCTTACCCTGATGTTTTCTCATTGTCCTTTGATTAATTAATCAGGACATAAAAAAATGGAAATTGGCGGATCCAAGAAAATTTCATTACTTGAATCAATCTCAATGCATTGAGTTGGAGAGAATGGATGATGCGAAGGAGTATCGTGAAACTAGAAAGGCAATGGATGTTGTTGGAATAAATTCAGAGGAGCAGGTAGTATTTTTTTGTCATTCCCTTGGTAGAAATTATGCTATATATGAGTGTATTTTGATATAGTTTTATGTCAGGAAGCAATATTCCGAGTTGTGGCTGCTATCCTTCATCTAGGTAACGTTGAATTTGGAAAAGGGAAAGAAGCAGACTCGTCAGCCCCAAAAGATGAGACATCCAACTACCATCTGAAAACTGCAGCTGAGCTTTTCATGTGAGTAACTACTTGATTATCTATGACTTTAATATGTGAAACCCTTCCTGAAACTGGTTCATTGAACATTGAATAAAGAAGTTATTTCTGACTCCTTGGATTTCGTCAGGTGCGATGAGCAGGCACTGGAAGATTCTCTTTGTAAACGTGTAATTGTGACACATAATGAAATCATTACGAAATGTCTGGATCCAGAATCTGCGGCACTCAGCAGAGATGCATTGGCAAAAACTGTGTACTCAAAATTGTTTGATTGGTATGTCTAGTTTCACACATTCGGAGTTGGGTTGTTGGATGCTTCTTAGTTTAGTTAACTTTTCTTAACGTGCTCTATTGCTCTTTCAGGATTGTGAACAAGATCAATAATTCAATTGGACAAGATCCTGATTCAAAATATTTGATTGGAGTGCTGGATATATATGGGTTTGAGAGTTTCAAGACAAACAGGTGCTTAAGCGGTATGCCTTTTGTTTGATAAGGGAATGGAACCAGTTTAGGGAAATACTTTGGAACTTAGCGTGATAGAAAATTAAGTCTCAGCATTTCACATGATAGTTTTGTTTGTTGGTTTTCTATGGATTTCTAGTTTTAGTAATCTATGGAAAGGGTAGTTTGATCTCCTTTCTTACATATTTATTATGAAACGGAAGGAAGTGATTAATGTATATCAAATGGATTTTCCATGCACTTTGCAGTTTTGAGCAATTTTGCATCAATTTGACGAATGAGAAACTTCAGCAACATTTTAATCAGGTTTTTCTGAGGTTTTTT